AGGATTTTATTTAGGAATATTAAAATAAAGGGCCTGGATGCATGTTAATGCAGACTTTTTTTATTGTAAAACATGTTTCTTACGTTTCGCAATAATGCAATACCCATTTTTAGCTGTCACATGAAATGAATTCTAATGAATAGCATTGATTTTTAATCAAAATGCAACAACATGAAGAAATTTAAGAAGTATAAACACTATTTCCACAAAATGGCAAAAGTATGAAGCTAGTTAGAGTGGAACCAATGTCAAACATTTCATAAGGGTTCCTGGAAGCCTAATCCTGTATCAGCTGTGATTAACATGTGGATCTTAGGTTGTTTTAATTAGAGACTGTGATGTCTGCGGTTTGTGACATGTAATGTAAAACATGTGAAAACGCATGTAGCAGAACAGAACGTACCAGCCAGAAAAACGATGTAATTCAATTCAAATGCAGACATTTTGGTTATTTAGCGTAAACCACACAGAACTATCAGGCAGACAATGAAACTAAATCTTCTGTAATCTCTTTGGAAAGAAAAGCAGCAACATTAGTTCAGCAGTAATTACTGTTTATGTTTGTTTCTGGTCAGCATGACTAGTGTAAGCACTCTGGCTTTAGAAAAGGAAAAAGGTGTGAGGGAATGCTGTGGGGAGGTTTAGTGTTGAGTTACAATCTCCGAAAGTCTTTCATCTCTGGTGGCTGTAATTTGTTTTCTTCCAGCTGTGAGTCTGTAAAGAACTCCCAGGCATCTTTACCAATGCCGCGAAACAGCACATGCATTTGGCAAATAGCCAAGTAGATAGAGTAAGGCTGGGGGGGGGGGAGACATGACCCAAATGGGCCCGTCTCGATGTATTATACCAGATGGAGGGAGCCAAAGAATACAGCATTAGTCAACACAAAAAAGGCTATAATTGTAACATCAATGACACAAACGTTTCCTCTATGCTAGAAATATGCAGGTTCCACCTGTAGGGAGATTTGATACTGACACTAAAACAATAATTTTACTTTACATGAAATATTCAGAGTTGGACTAAATTTTACTGGATATCTACCCTTCTTGTCTGAAGGCCCTGAAACCAATCTCTACTCCATGTAGCTCTCACTAGTTAGCGTATTGCCTTGATTGTTTGACCAAAGATCGGTAGTTCGTCGTAGAGAAGAAACTTCATGAAAAATGCTTTATTACCTCTTTCATTGTTGTTTCATCATTCACTTAGGGCTTTAGTATCCGCCCATTATCTCTACCTACTGGTATAAACAATGGAATCGGGTTCCTGTCTTTGGCTGTCTCTTGGCGGAGGGTAAATACTGCCCGGAAATAACACCAGTCCATAACAGGGAAACACAGAACCATTACGATAAGGCACTTCTGAAGGCATTTATTTTTATTTTGTGGCATTAGTGGCCTTTGTTTCAGAAGTGGATGGACAGGATTGAGAGACGTTGAGGACATGAAACAAAGGTCTTTCCAGGTTGGGACTTTTGGATGAGGTCATTACTCTCAGATGCCAATGTCAACGTCAATGTCAAATTTATTTATATAGCACTTTAAAACAGGTATAAAACTGCGCCAAAGTGCTTTACAGGAAAGACAACAACATCAAATTAACAAAACAGAAGAATAAAAATAATATCTTTCTAATAATAAATGATATCTTTCTAGTCAATGAGGTAATTCCTACTAGCTTTTTTGGGGCAGCATGAAGGACAGCCCTAAGACACTGTCCGGTTGACGGAGTAAAAGGCATAAATTTTTAAAACACAGATAGAAAGATCTGAGCTGATCCAGTATATTTCAAAACAAGAGGCTGGGTTCTCCTGGTTCGTTAATTGATCGTACATGGATCGGGTTCTGATTGTGACACATGACAATCTGTGATGGATATATCCATGTGAATTATAGACAGAAGTCTGCCCATGCACTACATAGCACACCCTATGAGAGGCTCTTAAACTAGATAGAAGTTATTGGATCATAAATAGCAAAAGATACTAACAAGTGTTTGAAATAAAATATAAGTGCCTCTTTATTAACACTTGAAGAGGTATATAGCTTTCTCATCTTTTTGGGAGGCAGTTCGTTCACTTGGTTTTTTATTATTGAAGCTAAGAAAGAGAAATATTTATGATGATCACACAAACATATTTTACAGAAGTCTGTTTTACCCTAATCATAGCAGATCTTCTTCATTTCCATCCCTTTTCCCCACCTCCAAAATCCTTCCCCTAAAACTCTGCATCCTGTTTATCATGAATTTTCTACATGAGGCAAAGCAGACAATATCTAGAATGTTGTTAACTCTCAGTCTGTTCTCTGGGAACGATAAGTTTTAAGGCAGAGTTTGTAAAAAGTTTTGAAAGACTAATATATTTGAATTTGGTAAATTATTAATACAGGAAGAATTACATCATTCTGTGACTTTAAGAGAAAAATGTTTTTCTTTGATGCTGGATGAAGGACAGCCCACTTGAGTGTTATCGTTGAAACCATGTTCTATGAGGAGAAATGCTTGTGCCAAACCCCAGGCAGACCGCCTCCGAGGGAGCCTAGTAGATGCTTACCTTTATATCATACGTTGATTGTGTAAATGGTGTTATTCTGTTCGACTGAGTGTCCAATCCCATCTTCTGTTTTCCTATTATGTTTTCCACTTAGGTAGACATACAATATAATGCCAGTAGTTCTGGATTTCTGGAGTTGTGTGTTGACACGAAGAGGTGAGCCAATACTTTTGGCAGCGGAGTTTATTTCCGTTTCCTCTGATTTACCCACTTCCTGACTCCTTTCCACCAGCATCTCTAGCCTCTTGAAAGTAAAACTGGAAATGCAATTTCATTGTTTTCCTGCACATCTGCAGCAGAGGCACGCGGGAAGTATTACGGCAAAGCTTACAAACATGTTTACTATTTTCTTTAGCGTTTGAGTAAAGATCTTCAGAAAATGCCACAGCTGGACCATGTGTACCCAGTAACCTTTTCAATGTATTCTGACCTATATTTTCCTTTTCATTCTCTCGGTTTGTATGTTTCTCCCTCTAAGGATTGCAGGAGGGACACACTCAAATAGTCTATCAATATATTTCCATTATCTCTCACCTGCCTTAAATGCGTAGAGTGAATTTAGGTATTAAAACAAGAATATTCTTATCCTTTTAGTCAAAATAAACCCCCCTCCTCACTAATTACAAAGAGTCTGGCGACTCCTGCAAAGTCCCCCACCTCCTACAAACAACAAGATAGGTTTAAGATGTTGATACAAACAATTAGAAGCAGACCCACATACATTCACGTGAGATGAATATAAGCTAAGGGACATCTGTGTTTGTTTGTGCCCTGTGGCTCTCTGTCTAATGAGATCTGGTTTCCAAGTAGTAACGTCACTGTTTATGGTCAGACTCGGAGAAAGACAGCTGTGGAACCACATCTGGGCTGGTGGTGGTCAACATAAGGGTTGTTATATATACATCGGTGTCTGTGTCTGTGTGCTTGGAGGTATTGGGGAGCCGTTCCAAAGAAAAACAATGTAGGACTGCTCAAAGTGTTTCCTTCATTCATAAAATCGGAGTATTTTTTTAGTGTGGTTTGTAGTATGCAGTTTGCCCTACGTTTCCTCATACATCAGTCTATATAGATTAAATGTTTAGAAAGGTACATCAACAAATGGTCGCGGTGGGTGTAAGAGGCGGAAAGAGGGGTGAGAACCTCCCACAATACTGGGAGATGAGAGAGGAAGGGGGGAGGAGAAGTGAGAAGATTAAACATAGGAGGTAAATGTTTGATCGATCTGAGGGTGACAGAGCAGCCTTGGCAAACAGGAAGTAGCGGATAACAGCATAATCTAGTAGATTACCATACATTTTAGAGAAAATCCTTAAACATACGTTCTCTTATACTTTAAAACCAAAGCTCTGCAAGATAGTATAATGGACTGAAGCAATGAGTCCATAAGCCTTTGTGATTTTTGATAAATTAAGGTCTGGGTTTGAGACGAATTTGAAAATAGAGGCAAAATACATTTGTAAATGGAAGAGAGATGGTTGGATGGGGGGAAGCTAAAAGAAGTAGAGGTACTGAAAATGGATGAGCTCAAGTTCCTGGGGTCAATAAATAGCCGAAGTAGAGAGGTTGAAAGACATGTTCCCTGTGTAGCCAGAGATGGGAAGTAACGAAGTACAAATACTTCGTTACTGTACTCAAGTAGATTTTTCTGATATTTTTACTTTACTACTTATTTTTATGGCGACTTTTTACTTCTACTCCTTACATTTTTACACAAATATCTGTACTTTCTACTCCTTACATTTTAAAAAATTGGCTCGTTACTTTAGTTTTGAATCATTTCAATGGAGTTACCGTTATTATTTTTCACGTCATCAATACCAAATTCAATCTAATTGGATGGGAATCTACGTTGCATTTGACGCACCACTACAAAATAAATCGACAGATTCGCGGTATTCATTGGCGGCAAATCATTGCAGCTTGGTGGCGGTGGCGTTAGCATAGTAGTATGGACGACGAGATGATTAAAAATGAACACAACGGAGATCTAGTCCTATTGGCAGACATCCATTTAAAATGTAGGCAACGGCATGAAAAAAGTGGTTTCTACTTTTACTTTTATACTTTAAGTAAATTTACAAGCCTGTACTTTGTTACTTTTACTTGAGTAAAGAAGTTTAATCAGTACTTCCACTTTTACCAGAGTATTTTTTAACACAAGTACCTGTACTTTTACTCAAGTACGGAAAGTGAGTACTTTTGCCATCTCTGTGTGTAGCCTTATATCTACTGCTTCGTACAGGCTACATGGCTTTGGTTTGTGAAATATATCTGGGAATGTTTGCTTATTAAGCCATTTATGAGGCAATGATTAATTCATCTCCTCATTTTACGGTTTCTATCAGCCAAATTTGGATTTGAAGGGGAAAAAAACTCCCCAGAGGTTGAATTTTTATCCTTACATCTGTTTTCAATCATTTAAGAGTATCTCTTTATGTCCCTGAAGGTCAATACCTTCCAAGCTGTGATTGGATATGATGAAACCGACTCGTACGTTCTCTTTCTTTACCCTGAAGATGGACTTACGTTTTTTGGGACACGGCCTAAGGTAAACCCGGTGGGCTATATATGCATGTATGAACTGCAATGTTATACATAAATACAGCCTGTTAGTATTGTTTCTGTTAACACAGGTTTAAAATCGCTTGTTTCTTGCTGTTTTCTAGGAGTCCTATAATGTGGAGATAGAGCTTCCTGCTAGAGTCGGCTTCAGTAGAGGAGAAGTTTCTTATTTCATCATTTCCAAAACCGATGGACCTTTTTACAGCGTTACCCAGGATGAAGACAGTGTTAAAAGGCTTTCTCAGTAAGCAAAAACGTGAAAGTTGTCGGCCAAAAACTGTTGTGTGTTAATACAACATGTTTAAACTTGACAGTTTATAAGTTAAAATGTATAAAGAAAAAAATGAATGTAACTTGAATGTAGCTACAAGCTAATGTTCATAGCGTTAGCTAAGTTTTTTGGCTCGTCATTGGCAGTTTCCTAAAGCGGTGAATTAAACACCACGGAAATTAAACAAAAAACCTTTTAAAATGTATTTTGGCCATATATTAAATCAGGATTTGAAACATTTCGATGGCTATATAATTCAGTTAAAAATGGAGACCTAGCAGACAACAGCTCCGTCTAGCATTGATGCTAGGTATTTAAAAGTTTAAATACGGTCTTATATTTTCATATCTCCCTGCACTCTTTAGCTTTACTTGCAACTGTTAGTTTTTGCCCCATTTTGTTCTTTTTTCACTGAAGACTAGGATTTCATTCACCATTAGACTGTTGTCATCTCTTTACTAATTTAAAGAGCATTTAAACCATATTTATGCTATTTTTCTCATTGCATAGTTGACCTGATGAAATTAATTACCTTAAGGACAAGCCTAATTAAAAACAGGATGTAGAAAAGATGAAGAAATATGAGCCATAATGTGTGGGTATCTTGGCCATGCCTGTGATTAATTAATAACTGTTCTTCAGGGTTGGAAACACTGGAATAGCAGGCGTTTGGCTTTTCCACACTGGAAGACGTTACTTCTTCCAAGACATCATTCCTGCATCTACTGGTGGTCTCCTTGTTATCCCGCCTACTGTTGGATATAGCCCCTACCTGGTAATCTTATTGTTAGGGGTTTAGCTCCTGGTTTGTTTTAATTCTGTTCTAACTCTACTAACTTCCTCTCCAAGGACACAACCACCCCTGAATATGAGTTTGAAGATTATACCTTTGAGCCAGAGACAGAAGAAGAGGAGGGTAGCCAAACACTGACAGGCAGAGACCCAGAGTACCAACCAGATCCCCGTGGTAGCGAGCACTCAGACTCTCTTCAACCTGGAGGTTTCGCGCCTCCTCCTCATTCAGAAGACTCTGATCGGCAGATATCATACAAAAGAGAAGATGTACCATTGCCTTTGGAGCCGGTAGAAAGGCAATACGGTGCTCCTCGTGTTGGCATCCAAGAAGGACGGGTCCAGGAACAGCAACCACAGGTAACAAGATACATTTGTGGCCAATGATATCAGAAATAGATGAAAAACCATCTTGATTCAAATTTGCAGTCTTTTTTTTTACTGTATTAGTGCTGGTTTGTGAAATTGTTGAGATATAGATGTTGGAGATCAGCCTGTTTTCCAGTGTAGTCCTGTTTCCCTGACTGTTACTGGCTGGATGTGCTCTCTTGTCGTCTGCTTGGCTGTGTGTTTCCTGGACGGGTCCGCCTTGTACAGCTGCTTTTTGTTTCTCTGCTTCTGTCTCCTTGAACCCCAGTTGGCCTCAGCAGATGGCCGCTCACACTGAGCCTGGTTCTGCAGGAGGTTTCTTCCTGTTAAAAGGGAGTTTTTCCTCTCCACTGTCGCTACAAGCATGCTTAGGGTGAGGGATTGCCTTCGAGGCAATGAGTCGATGCAATCAACTGGTTTTCCTTAGATAGAAAACTTTGAATCAATTTAACTGGATGATCTGGTGAACTGTAAAGTTCCTTGAGATGGCGCTATAGAAATAAACTGAATTGAATTGAATACAAAAATCTTCAGAAATAATTTTATCTAAGGGATTGAGAGGTGATTTCCTCCTTCGCTGACTTCTTCATACAAGCTTTACCTCATTAAGTCATTTTCTCTCTTCCAATCCATGTTCCTTTTCTCCTTCCTTTCTTTCCATCATTCATTCATTCAAACTTTCCTTCCTTATATCTCTTTTTTCCAAACTTTCCATCAATCTTCAGCTCGATTCTCATGAACAACATGCCGCTATACCTGAGCTCCTCCCCATGAGATAGAGAGAAACACTCAACCCAGAGGGAGAAGTTGAACTTTAACCTTCATGCTTTGGACTCACTTCTTCTCCTTAAAGTTATGTAGTGCCAACGCCAATAGAACCACATTGTCTGCAGGACAGCAAAGATTGGACACCAAGGTTCTCAACCAGACAACTTCTCCACCAAGACCTCACCTCTTTATCTAAACCACTTAGAGGAGCGTTGACCTGATGCACCTCTGGCTTAAAGGAATAGTACACCCAAAACATGATTAGCCTTCATTTTCTACTCACCTCCATGCTGAACAACACTCTGGAGTACTTTTTTGATATCTCAAATGCATCTGGAGATCTGGGAGGCTTCTTGCTGTCTGCTGACATTCAAATAATGGAGGTCCATGGCGCCCGAGACAGAAAGGTCCATAAAAGTCCACAAAAACGTGTCAATATTCCTCCATACTGCTCGTCCAATGTAATCCAAGTGTCCTGAGTGGGTAGCATCCAGAATTTACTCGAAACGAAGTCATTTAGAATGTTTTTAGAGCATAAACAGTAGTGTATAGGATTTCCTAATAGCGCCCCCATGCGCGCTCACGATTCTACGGAAGCCGGCAGACCAAACCGGAAGAAAGTGCGCATTCAGCGTCTGGTCTGCCGATAATGCAAGCGTAGAAGAAGAAATGTGCTGTTTACCTGTGCAAAGAAAGAAACAACGAAAGAAAAATGTCTGAGGACTTCAGTGTTGAGGAAGAGCATGAGTTCTTTGCCGAGCTGAATGCGCTGGTTTGGTCTGCCGGCTTCCGTAGAATCGTGAGCGCGCATGGGGGCGCTATTAGGAAATCCTATACACTACTGTTTAGGCTCTAAAGCGTTCTAAATGACTTCGTTTCGAGTAAATTCTGGATGCTACCCACTCAGGACACTTGGATTACATTGGACGAGCAGTATGGAGGAATATTGACAAGTTTTTGTGGACTTTTGTGGACCTTTCTGTCTCGGGCGCCATAGACCTCCATTATTTGAATGTCAGCAGACAGCAAGAAGCCTCCCAGATCTCCAGATGCATTTGAGATATCAAAAAAGTACTCCAGAGTTTTGTTCAGCATGGGGGTGAGTAGAAAATGAAGGCTAATCATGTTTTGGGTGTACTATTCCTTTAACAGCATCGTTTGGGACAATCTTAAAACTACTACTCGGTTGTGGAAACTGATCTTGTTTTAGTTATAAAATTGTCAAAATGCCATGAAAAGAAATCAAGGTATCCACACTGCAAAAAATAGAAATCTCAATAGGTTATTTTTTTTTTTTATTAAAATAAGTGTATTTTTTTTTTATTGATGAGGTAATGGAACAGGACGATTTCCTTTTGAAATAAGAAAAAACAATGATATCGTATTATTTCAAGTGCATATTATCTATTTATCTTATTTTAGAGTAGAAATACTCATTCTATTGGCAGATCATCTTATTTACCTGCTCAAATTAAGGGTAAATATACTTAATTTAAGAATTAATTTTTTAAAACTTATTTCTGGATTGTTTTTGCAGTACACTAGTCCTGCGTCTTTCCTAAAACATTCCCATCACCCATTGAACTGCAAGTCTCATCTCATTTTAAAAAAGGTTTTAGTTTTATTCATGACAACTTGAAGATGTAAATCTTTTCTTCCAATTTTGCTGGTGCTGAGGAATGTTGTTTTCAAGTGTTGATGCGCTGCCATCTTATTCCCATGTCATCGTTCTGTGGGTTTTTAGTGTCTGGAGAGGGTTTATGTTCTGGCTTTGTTCTCTGTGACATGATGAAAAGTTTAAAGTTGATTAATGTTTTTCTATTTTGTCTCCATCTTTAGCTTAATTTGGACGTGGTGGACTTGTTTCCACCCCTTACAAGCAAAGTAGCCCTGTCTCCTGGAGGACACGTGGTCAGTGTGGATGAAGATGATGTTGACTTTGACACAGGAGGTGAGAAACAAACCACACAGGCATGTGTTTTGGTGTGGGCCGTCTCGACTGCTGTCACAGAGGATTTCTATTGTAATTAAAATGTGGGTGTTTAAACTGCTGCGAGGATCAGTCATAGTTACTACATTTTATGCAACACAATTTCATAGAATTTGTTCAGTTAGATCCAAAAGTTGATTAAAAGCAGCTCTTAAATTAAAATAGCCTGACTTTACAAGCAATACTCCCTTTAAATGCCAGTGTTGGCCTAGTGGTTAGATCAGTGCGCTTGTGCTCTGAGAAGGTTGTAAGTTCCCACTTTGATCCCCACAGCCTCCACTCTGGGTCCCTGAACAAGACCCACACTGCTCCCTGGGCGCCGCACAATGGCAGCCCACTGCTCCCTAAGAGAATGCAGAAATACATTTCTCCAGTGTGAGATCAATAAATTTCAATTATTATTATCATATAAACATCAATTATTAGATATAAAGAGAAAAATTCCAAAGGTTTATTGTCTTGGCCAACAAAAACAATCTTTCACTTTCACTATTTATCCTCAAAGTCTAAAAAAAACTGCATTTTTTTTTACTTTTGCCAGTTATTTACCTTTATCGGTTATTACAAAATAAGTTACAACATTTAGATGATTTATTCCAGTCTGCATACTGTAAACACCGTATCAGACGTTGATTTAGGAGCAGAAGAGATGCCACTGTGTTTCCTGTGATGTTCGCTGCACTGTTTGCAGCTTAACCTAAACTTGAAGATTTTCGAAAGACTTAAAAGCGTTTCCACATGAAACCTGATCTATAAAGACAACAGGGTGTAAATAATAATCGTTTTGTATCGATTCATCGATCCATGATGATCCGATGCATTGACACGTCCGTAAGAGTATCAATTCATGTATTTTTTTTCCTCCGGTCTATTTTTATCCATTTGCTCCTGGACGTAATTCTGACTCCTGTGCTGCGGTGGCGCTAAACCTCTTTTGCCCTCCTACCTGGCTTCCTTTAGCCACTACCCTCTTTCCGCTTGCAGTATTTTTTATTGTAAGGCCTTTCAGAATCTATAACACAGAAGCATTATTATTTTCCAGTGAATGAGGTTTTCATAGGCTTAGGTGGAGTACAACTTTGCTACTTCTGTTATTTGCTGTTGTTTCTCATATAATATGCAGCTTTAATTGATTTATTTCAAGTTTGAAACATTGTCTAGCCTGTAAGGTAAAAAAAAAAATTGACCAATTTATCGAATCAAATCATATCGTGGTGTATTCTTGAATATAGAAAACAATCGAATCGTTGGGTCAGGAAATTGATAGTGAATCGAATCGCCATGATGGGTGTGATTTACACCCCTAAAAGACAAGTTTAACGCATAAAAGGGAGAAAACACCAACGTTTCAGTACTTTGAAAGCATCAGTTTATAAATATCTTTTCTTGTATTAAATTTAAAAGAGATTTTTAAATATCTATAGAAACCCCGGTTTGTAAAAGTCAAAACTTGAAACCAAAGTATGACTTGTGTTTCTGTTAAAATCTACAGGAAACACCATCATAATAATAATAATACATTTTATTTAAAAAGGCACCTTTCTGGACACTCAAGGTCACCGTACAGAAGCATAAAAACAGTGTCAGAAAAAAATAAAAATAAAACTGCTTCATGTCTTTATGAAGCAGTTGCAAGAAACATTATTTTTTTGCCGGCTCTAGAAAAGAAACCAGATGGAAGAAAGTCCCAGCAGGTTTTCTTGGAATTCCAGATCTTATCTGAGGTGGACATAGAATCAATGGACTGTGAAGCTAATTAAGGTTTCCTGCTGCCTTAAAAAAATGGCTCCAGTATATATTTATAAATCTCATTGAATATATCCTAGCTGCAAAGGTTTCTGGCTATTTTATCCCATCAAACCCAGACCTCATTCTGCACAGCTTTTAACAATGAAGTTTCATGAGCAGTGCTTGTGCCGGTCTGGCAAGCTATCTTTCACAGGGACTAGATGCCTTTTGTTGTGAAATGATGCTGAGCAAATGGCTAAATAACAGTTTCAGATCTGTTACTGGGGTAATAGACTGCAGTCCTGCAACAGCTCAGATTCTCTGTTGCCTTCAGTGTGTGCAGATCAAAGCGGTGCGATTTAACACAACCATAAACACATGCCTCTTCCAGCTTTTTGGGGCCAGATGTTGGCAGGTAGTGAGGAGTTTCTAATATTTTTTTTTTATTTTGAGTACTCACTTAAGGATCTGTTTTATTCATTGAAAATGAGTAGAAAGAGAAAAAAAATCTTATTTTATCTATTTGGTTTTTAAAGAGAAGCTACTGTCCTACTAGAGATTTTCTAATAGCAAGAAAGTTGGCTTACGATGCAGGACGATTAACCACAATAATATTACTTTCCATCCTTAAATCTAACTTAGAAAATAGACAGATAAAGTACAAGAGATGGACGTTTGTCCACGGTTGTTTCAAGTCTCTCTTTGTTGCTCCTGCTTTGTGTGTTTAAGGAAACAAACTTCCCAACCGTTCAGCAATCAGCAGAACCTGCTGTCCATTCTGCTTTCTATATCTAGCTGAAAGAGAAAGTCTTTCTATGGCCATTATTTCTCTTTACAGTGAGCCAATGAGGCAGAAATGTTGCTTCATAGCAGGGGTAACTAATTAAAAATCAGCGATGTCTGAATAAAAAAAAAAATTAGCAACCAGTAAAGGTCCGGAGACATTTTTTATTATAATTTGTTGCTTTAAACTGAATTTAACACTGAAATAAAATGTGGTGTTTATGCATCCATGTTATACATTGACTTATTAAATAAATAAAGAAATAGAAAATGTTTAGATTTTAAAATCTAAAGTGTTTTGTTTTTTTTAAATAGAGAATAACAATCATTCAGTTTAGTATATAGACAATTTCCTGATTCATGTACTTATGAACTGAAGGGTCTGACCAGGAGGTAACGCTTCTCTTTAGATCTAAATGTCCACAAATCATGACAGAAAGAATATTTTAGTACAAAGATGGATTTTTAAAAAGGAATTGTAAGGGACCTGCTAAGGGCCCATCAAGGAAAGTTGGGAAATTTTGAATGGCTACTACTGTATATATTATTTCATTATATTTATATTTCAGCTGAGAATTTTCTCTATAAAATGTTCTGAACATTCATAATAATGAGAAAACCTAAGTTCAGGGTTAAAAAGCAACTCCAGGCGATAAATAAACCCCCCATTAAAGCAATGTCAGTTGTAGGAGTGCTAATCTACTCCTTCTTTATGGAGCAAGGCTACACAGCTGCTTATAGTATAATGCTGCCGCTGTGCAGGACATCTCCAGGTGTGTTTGATGTGTGTGGTTTCCACATTCCCTCCCTCGCAACTCCCCAAGGATTCAGCAATAAACAAGCCGGTGTTCTCAGTAGACCTGTATGGTTTCGTAAGATTTAAAAAGTCCCTGGAGGTCAAACATATGGGGTCAAACAGGATGCCTGCGTTGGGTTTATCTAAGAGAAAAACTAATTTACACTTCAAGACAGACTGCATCCATCCGTCGATTTTCATGCATCTTTTTTAGACGTTATGTCCCTCAGATTTTGATAAGGTAGAGAAACATAAGCGGGTATATAATTGTGAAATGAAAGGAGCATGACCTTGAAAGTAAAAAAAAAAAGAGAGCGCTCAATATGAATCCGTGTATGGTTCGTTCTTTGTTTTTTTCGTTTCAAAACAAAAACGATTTTTCAAAAAAAACCTAAATCGAAATAATGAAAAATCTAATTAATAGAAAATCAACAGCGTTTGAGTAATGTTTTCCCATCTAAATGAAAATAACCGGAAATGAAGTAAGTCGGCAAAGAAAAATCATTTACAGTGGAAGAAGACGGCATCAAAACAAACCATTTCTAAACAAAAGCCAATGGCTGCACTTGAACTGTTTTCTGCATTGATTATCAAACTTTTTTAGAGAGGAAAAACACATTCTGAAATCAGTGATGTTTTGAGCCGCCATGGAGCTCCACATCACTCGGTAATGAATGTCAGAAGGTTTCGTATGGAGCACAACTTGCGCCGATTCCCTCTAAATAACACAAACGTTTCCATTTTGGTAGTACTAACTGAAAAAGTTCTTCTTCTTGTGGACTATAATGGCGGTTGGCAATAAATTGAAGGCGTACATTACCGCCACCTACTGGTAACTAAAAAAGTTATGTGTTGGGAGTTCAGGTCTTCATTTCCGGTTCTGCCATACGGTCCGTTGAATAAACAACAAAATAAAAGCTTGTCTTTGGTTTAACCATTGCAGTTAAAAAACAAAAACAAAACGTACACTTTTTTTTCATTATTGCAAATGCCGTTTTTCTAATTTCGTTTTAAAAACGGAAAAACAAAAAAACCACATGCTTGTTTTAGTTTTTCGTTTTTGTTTTGAAACGAAAAAAATCAAAGAACGAACCATACACAGATTCATATGTATTCAGACTCCTGTATCAGTCTGTTATCTTTACCAATTTAGCACATTTCCTTAAGCTAACAACAAACGTTATTTCAAGACCTATCAGACACATTAAGAATTAAAAAAATACATAATATAATTCATATAATTTTGCTCAAAACAAAGAATTTAGTAGATTAAATGACTTTTTGTTGTACTTCTCACTCATGTTTTCCTTTTCCATTATGCCAAAAAAGAGGTCAGCTGGGTTTTCTGTATTTTCATAAATAGATGAAGCGCTGAAAATAGTTTAGGTTCAACCAGTTAAACTATTTTGCACAGAAAAGTATAAAAGATTACAATTAGGCATAGGCAGAGAAACAGGTTAGTTGAGAACATGGAAGGAGAATAGAGGGATCCAGCTGGGGATGATGACCACCATGGACACTGAATATTGAGGGAGGTTATGAGGAGAATAACATTGGAAGCTGGAGTGAAGATTAGAGGCTTATGAGGAGCAGCTGAGGCAGAAGGATTGTAGAGAAGCTGAGGGAGAAAACCTGTTCACACAGATTAGAGCTAAACGAACAGGAAACAAGGAGATGACAAATCAAAATAATAATAATAATCTGGCATATATAGACTATAAAATTACATTTAGGGGTATCATAATAAAGGGGGCATCACAAATACATGCTACACATCTTAGATATTCATTTGTTACGATATTTCTATCATTTCTTTGTTATGCACTAGTTTTTGTTGGTTCATTTAAAAAAATCCATAAAATTGAATTAGTTCTGTGGCTGCAATGGAAAAACGTGGACACTATTTATGAAATCCAACTTTTATCCACTGAGTTGTGCCAACATGCTGCGGCAGTGGGATGGAAAAAAACTGTTTTGGTCCAGAATTATTTATTTGATAATAATACAAAAATAAATGAGACACATGCAGGGAGGAAATGGAGGAAAACTGTCACTTGGAAATGATTAATGGAGCTTATATCACTTTGAGCTTTCTCTCCAGCTTTTGGAAACTGTCAAAGTTTCCACAAAATAATTGTGTTAATTTCTTCTGTAATAAAAAAACAACAGCTTTTCTGCATATTACTTAGCTCCAAGAATTAGGTTTAGACCTGCAGCAAAGATCTTGTTGTATATTGCAATTTTTAATGATCATTTTGAGGTTAAACCTTAAGGTTATTTGGTTCAAAGCTGACCTGGACCATTTTGTCGTGTCGCTAAATGAACCAGAAAATGCTTTTTGCAACATGTGTCCTCACAAGCAGAAAGCAGTGGGAGGTTGGCTTGCAGCAGCTGGTTTCTTTCCAACCAGTGCCTTGTATATTTGTGTATGGCTGCATGTTTCCCCTGATCCCACCCATCCACTTCTTCTAGCCTAGTTTTCCATGCGTGAATTCAAGCTGTTTTGAATTTGTTTTCCTGCAATTCGATCTTTTATGTTTGTGTAAATACAGATCTATAAAAGCTATCTATAAAGAAACCAGAATGTATTGTTTTGTTTTATTAAAAAAAGCTGAAGCTATAGGAAAGCTTTTCTCTAATGATAACAGAGTAGTTGGTCAGAAAAAAATGCTCAAAAGCTCAATACCTGCTCCTCTGAGTCAGTGTTGGTTTCCCGTCTACTTTCTGTTGGCCTTTTGCAGAAACTAATGATTAAAATCATTACATTTATATATTATATATACTCTAAGGCTATGTCCAAACGTCCCCCCTAACCTCTAGATCCCTCAATCACTACATAGAGTGGGGACTACATGGTGGACTTTATAGTGAACTCTGTTAGCCATCCGTTCAGACAGATGATCTCTACTTTTTCCATCCCCATTGGTCACGTGACTCCGCCTCCCTGAATGATGCCTGCGCCATCTTTGTAATTTCTCACCCCCGTCGGGTAGCAACAGCCATAGGCGACAAATCCCATGATTTGTGCAAAGCATGCTGGGATATATCTGCTCGTCTACCATGGATGATCACTACTTTTCAAGGTGCATTGCGGGAAATTTTGAGTCCACTACTTTTTCATCCACTAGACATTTGGACACTCATTTAAAATGGCGCCACCACTTTATAGTGCACTGTATAGGGATAAGGGACACACAGCTTTTGACTGCTTCTTTAAAACTATTAATTAAGAAGTAACTCTTTATTCTCACTCATAGTGATCCAGTACACAACGGAGAATAAGGAAACGTGTGCCAGGTTAGTGAAAACTTTTATAAACTGATTATATCCTGTTTGGCTTCTATATATTAATCCATATCCCTCTATTTTTTATATAATAATATGTAAATATAAAGACTGAATACCTATATATATCTCCCATTTTCTTATTGTTTAGGTTCCAGAGGCAATGTTCCCAGAATGCATTCTGTTCAGATTATCCCACAGGATTTTGCTGTCACTGCCAAACAGGCTTCTACGGAAATGGCCGCCAATGTCTACCAGACGGTTAGAACCCCCCTTTGAATCAACATTATTTTTTTTTTAAACAAACCCTTTGCCGTGGGTTAAAAATGATTTTGCTGTGTAATGTGTCTCTAGGTGCTCCTCAGCCTGTCAGCGGTAAGGTGAGTGGGACGGTGACGGTCGGCTCCACTCCGTTTGAGCTGAATGACATCGACCTTCATGCCTACATCGTGGTTGGAGACGGTAGAGCATACACAGCTATTAGTGAGGTAGGTGACTCAAATCTACCCGTTAACTTATGGTGAACAGCTATGGAGCAATTATTAGCATAATTAGCAGCTAACCCTTTTTTTCTGTGTAGGTGCCAGAGTCATTGGGCTGGCCCATGATGTCCGTTTCACCAATCGGAGAGCTTTTCGGATGGCTGTTTGCTCTGGAGCTGCCCAATAGCCAGGCAGGATTTAAAATCACAGGTGATCTTGTTTTTGTCAGTTTTATGGGACAGATCTTCCCCACACACGCATGGGGACAAATTGTTCCTTGGCCAGGACTTTCTGTGTTTTGCTTAATGGTCACCCAGCCAGATGTTTTTTTTTTTTTTCTCCAGAGATGTGATGCGATATGAAACTTCTACCTCCCTTCTTTAATAGGAACCAGCTGCAAGTGCGTTTGTTTTGGAGAGCAGAGTTTCTTATCCCCCTTGTCAACAAATGAAGCTTCATTATGGACCTGATGCAGTGTAGGAACAGTTGATTGATCGGCTGACTTGTTGTGTAACCAGGTGCCGAGTTCAGTCGTCATGCTGAGGTGCTGTTTAACCCTGGGAACCAGCGCCTGTCCATCATCCAAACAGGCCGTGGCCTTGACGAACACAACCACCTCAGCGTGGATACAGCAATCAATGGCAATGTGCCATACATCCCCCCTGGAGCTGAGGTTACTATGGAGCCCTTCAAGGAGACCTACCAATACTACCCATCTGGTAAACATGATAATATAGGAGGAGGAAATAAAACCACCGTAATGCTTTATTGTCTAAAAGGTTTTTCTCCTTTTCTTTACATCTCATAGTTACAACCTCCAGCTCCGTCAGGCGGTTTTCCGTTGTTTCAGCTGAACGGGGCGCAGAGTCCTACACTTTCCACCTGAAGCAGAACATCACCTATCGTGACTGTCGCCACAACAGCCAGGCCGCCGCCCCTGAGACGCTGCAGATCAACATGGAGAGGGTGTTTGTGATGTACGACAAGGAGGAGCAGATCCTGAGATACGCCGTGACTAACAAGATCGGCCCGGTTGGAGGTGAGTAACATATAAAGCTGCCTTTAAAGGAATAGTACACCCAAAACATGATTAGCCTTCATTTTCTACTCACCCCCATGCTGAACAACACTCTGTAGTACTTTTTTGATATCTCAAATGCATCTGGAGATCTGGGAGGCTTCTTGCTGTCTGCTGACATTCAAATAATGGAGGTCTATGGCGCCCGAGGCAGAAAGGTCCATAAAAGTCCACAAAAAACGTGTCAATATTCCTCCATACTGCTCGTCCAATGTATTCCAAGTCTCCTGAGTGGGTAGCGTCCAGAATTTACTCGAAACGAAGTCATTTATAATGTTTTTAGAGCATAAACAGTAGTGTATAGGGTTTCCTGAAAGCGCGCGCCTGCGAGTTCACGATGCTACGGAAGCCGGCAGACCAAGCCAGATGAAAGTGCGCATTCAGCTCGGCAAAGAACTCATGCTCTTCCTCAACACTGAAGTCCTCAGACATTTTTCTTTCGTTGTTTCTTTCTTTGCACAGGTAAACAGCACATTTCTTCTTCTACGCTTGCATTATTGGCAGAGCAGACGCTGAATGCGCACTTTCATCTGGTTTGGTCTGCCGCGGTTTCCGTAGGGTTGTGAACTCGCAGGCGCGCGCTTTCAGGAAATCCTATACACTACTGTTTATGCTCTAAAAACATTATAAATGACTTCGTTTCGAGTAAATTCTGGACGCTACCCACTCAGGACACTTGGAATACATTGGACGAGCAGTATGGAGGAATATTGACACGTTTTTTGTGGACTTTTATGGACCTTTCTGTCTCGGTCACCATAGACCTCCATTATTTGAATGTCAGCAGACAGCAAGAAGCCTCCCAGATCTCCAGATGCATTTGAGATATCAAAAAAGTACTCCAGGTTGTTGTTCAGCATGGGGGTGAGTAGAAAATGAAGGCTAATCATGTTTTGGGTGTACTATTCCTTTAAAGATAGCCGTTCTACACAGCAGGTTTGAGATTTTTACAAATGAAAAACAATGGAGGGGTTAATGGAAGAGGTTTTAACAAGTGTTTTTTTGGGTGTTTATGATGCATAAAAAAATATGTGTAACACATGATTAAAGGTTGGTGTTTTACCAGGTGCTTTAAACCTGACAAATGAGCCTCACTGAGACTCATACTCTATATAACTGAGCCTAATCGCCATTGGGAATCCACTATTACAGACCTAGGACCCCTGACAGCATATTTTAAATTGACCGTCACACACAAGATTTTAAATTGGGAAAGCAACTTGAGCAGTTGTCAGATCTTGCTTTTATCAGTTAAGACAATTGAACTTTTCTTTCACAGCGACCCTTTGAAGCAGTTATTCATGCTTTTATTTAATCTGGATTTGATTATTGCAACTGACTCTATGTTGGTGTGTGTCAGTTTTTGATCACATCACTCCTGTCCTCGCCTCGCTCCACTGGCTGCCTCTGCATTTTAGAGTTGATTTTTAAATTCTTATCTTTGTTTTTAGTGCCTAAATAACTTTGCCCCACCCTAGCTCGCTTCTTCACCCCTACTTGCCACCTCTGTCCCTCAGGTCAGCAGAACAGCAGCTCCTGCAGGTACCGTAGTTTAAGAGGAAGCTCAGAGGAGCGAAAGCCTTCTCTATCTGTGACTTAAGGAATAGCCTGCCGCTGCACATTAGTGAGGCTCCTTCCTTGCTGAATTTTAAAACAAGGCTCCAGACTTGCTTTTATTCGCTGGCTTTTAACACCGGCAGGACTTAGTTGTCATGATGTTGTTTGCTTAGCTTTCTTATTATTGCCTTATTTTAAATTTTCATGCTGTATTTTATTCTTTTATTGTGTTTTATTATTTGTTTAACACTTTGTTTTCAGCTGTAGTGGTTTTAAAGCGCTTTATAAATGATGACAATGAGGATGATGATGAATATGACTGTATTAAACAGTAGAGAACCGAGGTCTATGCCCTGCAGAACCCCAATACTTTCTGAGGTTTTAATACTTTAAGGCTTCTAGATGCGCTTTTGCCCCCTAAGTCATAAAGTAAGTGAAGACCAATTAGAAAGGGTTTCATTGCAATGATGTGTGGGTCTTTTACTTGTTTACATCAGATTTAGACTATTTCAGTTTTCTCAGTTTTTCGCTTTTGCAGATACCTTGGAACTAGCATCTGGAATGCTGCAGTTTGCTCTTTAAAGTTCCCCCGACTGCTTGTTGGGGTCTACGTCCAAAAAACATTTGGCCTGCAATGTGTTCTGAAACTTTATTTCTTGATGGTGAACAGAGTTCTGAATTTAGCCATTAGTTTGAGTTTTAGTTTAGCAAAAGATTTATCAGCTGCCTTTTCAGCAGTGGTGTCTAAAGTACACACATTTGTTACTTAAGTAGAAGTATAGATACTGCAGTTTAAAACACTCTGATAAAAGTTGAAGTATCAACTTGACCTCTTTGGTAAAAGTGAAAAAGTATGTGCTCCAAAAACTATTTAAAGTATAAAAGTATAAAGTAACCTTAAAAAAAAACAGCCAGATGCTACTATATGAATTGAAAGCTCAATGTTTCGACTATTTCGAATAATTCTTGGAGATAGGGCCAAGGATGAGGGAGGTCTTATTGGTCTCCATCTCCCGATACGCTCTCGCCTGTGTCTGACCTTTCAGACATTTCAACATCTTTTTCTGAATCCCACATTGTAGCATGGCATAGACAATTCACGTTTACAGTTTGAAGAACACCTGCTTGCTTCTGATGATTTCCTTTAGCTAACCAATGAGTGTTTGCGTTCTATGACTCATCTAGTTACACTAGTTTTCACTAGATGTGGATGGAGCCATTGATCTGCATTGGATGGCGCACATGACGTGAAATAAATATTTATAAACATTAAACCGAAGCCAAGAGTAACGAGTAACGTTTGTTTTAAAAATGTGAGGAAAAGAAAGTACAGATACTTGTGTCAAAATGCAACGAGTAGAAGTCAGAAGTAGGAAGAAAAATAAGTAATGGAGTAAAGTATAGAACACCTAAAAAGTTTAGTACAGTAACAAAGTATTTGTACTTTGTTACTGTACATAACATGAAAATGAATGATTTTTCAGTTCATTTTCAGTTTAAAAAACAGAAAAAGGAGAAAAAAAATTATATATATATATATATATATATATATATATATATATATATATATATATATATATATATATATAAATTTTTACAGCCCTCTAGGAGTCCATCTATATTATCCAATCATTTATTGAATGGAGGATTGTTAGACTTGACTGACCTGATCCAATGTTTTAAAATGTTGTTTATATTTCACTGATTCAGTTTAAAACCATTTCAGTGTGAATTAAGTGGAGGACCTAACTATACGCTGCATGTTTAACTTAAAGCATTGGCTTCCTGCTTAAATCCCTCCCAGGCGAGTTGAGTGGCCAATTGGACCGACCCCCAGAACAGTAATGGTTACAGTTAAACTCAGTCTCAAACGCACACATGCAAAACGCACTGAATATACAATTACTATTTATGTTTCTGCTTTCTGTCACTCTTTGCGTCACAGTTCACTGAAAGTGATTCACACATTTTTAGTCTCTCTCTATCATTGCATTTTTTGCCCGCAGTGCTTTGCAAACATTTCTAGGTAAAGGGATTTGGCTCCAATGAGCAGGACAAACATTGAACTAAAGCCACGTAGCTTATTGTTTATTTTCACAGGAAATGTTTGGTTTTGTGGTTTCAAGACTAAAATACCAAGATTACAATGTTTGTTTTTGGTAATTTTGCTGCCTTTTTACGTCATATCAAAACATAATCAAATCATATCAGTAAAGCATACTTAAATATTGCACTACACTGCAAAAAACTGAAATCTATCAACATTTTTCTTTATATTAAGTGCATTTTTTCTTGAATTGAGAAGGTAAGTGAGACACTTTAACAATGCAACAAGACAATTTACATTTAAAATAAGAAATAACTATTGTTTGTCTTATTTCAAGTGAATATTATCTAATTATCTTATTTTAACGTTAAAAATACGTGTGACTGCTCAAATTAAGGGTAAATACACTTAACTTAAGACATTTGTACTTATTTCTGGATCGTTTTTGCAGTGTGTATGAAATATTTTTGTGTGTTTTCAGATTATCGTTTGATAGATCTTACCTAAAAGATATTTTTCTGCTAAAAAAAAGTCTAAAAACTACCTTTAAAAGTATTAAGCTCCCTCCTTTCCATCAGTTCTGACCAGTTTCCCTGATCCAGGTGAAAAAACTACTATATTTAAAAAGGGTGTGAATACTTTTAAAAGCCACTTTCCATTGCACTTCTTTAGCAATCATCCAAAAACCTCATGATCTTTGCTCCATCTTTAAGGGGAGAACTCGAAGGAGGCTTTTTTTCCTTACGTGTTGGTCGCAGACCAAGTTTCTGTCACTGGAACATCAGTGCTCTGATTAAAAAGCTTACCATTAAATATCTCCAGCACGCTCTTGCTGCTGACACACTGATATACTCTGAACACAGCTGGAAGATCTTGCCGGGATCAGAGGCTCTGTAAACACGACTTAAGTGGTGAGTGTTAACGGATCTTCCACTTTCTGGGAAATAATATCTAAGCCAATGATAGATTTTCTTGAAGAGGGGGGTTGCTGGGCAGAATAGCTGCCCAGTGAGGTCATGAGAATCTGAGATTGCAGACATGCTTAAGGCCCTGAAGAGATAAAAACTAATCATAAAGTATATTTACTTTTGGGAGGCTTTCAAAAATCATTCTTTTATAGCTCTGGCTTTTTAGTATTTACAGAACATTTGGATTAATACAGATAAAGTTTTACAGTAGGATTGGATTGTTTTAAGGATTTCAAGGTAAAGAGGGCTGATTGCACATGCAAAAAAAAGTTCAAATTATAGGAATATCTTGAAAAGGATTTAGGAAAGAGGAATCTGCTGAATTTGTGCATTGAGAAGAGGAGGAAGCACGTGAAAAGCAACAGGTGGGAAGCAGCAGCCATCACTTTGATGGTGTGCAGCGTGTGTGTGGGATGTGTGTGTTCCTAACCTCTCTGTCCTGCTCGCCTTCGCTTCTCTCCCTGTCTCTAATTATCCGTCAGTCTTTTTTTTTTCTTTTTTTCTTTTTCTCCCCCAATCCATGTGGATCTTTGCCTCTCATCTGCCCTCCTTCCTGGCCACATTACACTTTGAAGAGTCTTTTTCTCTCTCTCTGATAATGAGCCAAAATTGCTCTCTGGCCCGGGGAGATGAGGGGCAAGTTTATGTTCTTTATAGTAGAAAACGTGTTTCATAGATGCCTAAAACCTTCAAACATCATTAAAAAGATGTCTTGTTTTATGTTAAACTTTGTGCACATTCAAATCGTCTGGTGGAAAGTAGGCCCACAGTGCTGTTTTATATGAGACACCACAATCCTGTTAGACCATTTTTGTGGCACAGAGGACTCCGACATGACTCCCATCCTGTTCTTTAGAATCGATCCGAGCTGTTTTTAATCCTCTGCACATTTATTCATCTTGCTGCATTCTTTTGTAATGATTTCCGAGAGTTTTCTCTTTTCTAGAATTCCCTGGAAATCAGTCTGAGGTTTTTTTTTATATTCAATTGTTTTTGAAAGTTTATGTCTGAACCAGACGGTGGAATGAGGAGCCTCCACAAACCCCCTCTGCTGCTTGTATGTTGTCTCCTGTTTAACGTCCAGGACATGTGCGCCTAACCTCATCCATATGTTTTTTTGTTTGTTTTGTTTTTGTGTGTGTGTGTGTTGAGAACATGAAGGGGAGTCCTCTCTTTAGAGGAAACAGACACGTGGGAATTTGTCTGGAGCTTTTTTTTTTACATGTGTCCCTGGTTAAGTTTTCATGTAATTAATGAATTTTCCAGCTTTCAGTCAATCTGAGGTCGGACAAGACGGGCGCTGCTGTGGTGGCACTGTTGGATTTATACCTGACTAAACTTTTCAGTCAGGATTACTAAAGTTATTTCTCTTTGAAAAATTACAAAACATTTATTTCTGCTTTCTTTAAATTTACCCTACAAGGTTTTAATTAAATAAACCACACTGCTTCCTTATTTATACCATTAAGTATCAAAATTCAAGGATATTATGAAGAAACACCTGAGGGAACATAAAGAAAATGCATTCTATGTTCCTAATTTTGTCTAGAATAGAACTGGTTACCCTTAATAAACCAAAACAGGAAATGCTCATTTAAATGATTAGTTTCATGCTAACGCTGCACTGGAGTCAAATCAATGCTTTTTTTAACTTTCAATGGTTCTGTTTTGTTCTCCATGTTTGTAGCAGATACTTCTGTGGTCGAGCTGTTGAACCCCTGCTATACTGGGAGCCATGACTGCGACACCACAGCCCAGTGCATCCCACTGGAGGGACAGTCTTTCCGGTGCCAGTGTGCCACTGGTTATAGAGGAGATGGACAGAACTGTAACGGTACATGTCTTTCTGAGATCCCCCACACAAACGTGCACACATTCATCAGAAGGTATTTATTTAATCCAGGGTGGAAAGATGATAAAGCATCTGAGTTAAGCATGTAAGTAGCAGTTGGTTGTGAAGCACTAATTCTGACTGTCTGGGTTCGTTTCATGTAAATGTGTTAACAATCGGCTGATGGTTCAAGGTAACGCGCCTGTGCTTCTTCAGCATTTGTCAGGCTTGTGTTGAGGGTCCAAGTTCCATCTGGATGAATTGAACCAGAAGTGTTATCCTTCTCTTCTCATTGGGCTTTTTAAAGGGGACATGTTAAGACTCTGAGCTGGTGAGGGGTTTATCATGAGGCCAGCAGGTGGTCTCCATCTCCTGCTGACAACACCAAGAAGGCCCCTCAGCTCAGCCTCTCTTCCCATCTGTATCGTTTCACTGTCCTTATAGAACAATGCTTTCCAGCTAAAACTGACCCAGGGTAGTATGCAGGGAGTTAATAGGAATAGTAAACAAAGTAATTACTGCTTTTATTGCCCCACATATGGCGTATTCCTGCTTTACAGGGTGTCTTATGTACCCTCTCTTCCTTTGATGCAGACATTGATGAGTGTGCAGAGGGTTTGAGCTCTTGTGGCGAACACTCCCAGTGCCTCAACCTTCCTGGTACACACCGCTGCCAGTGCCAGAGCGGCTTTGAATCCAGCTACGACGGCCATACTTGCGTTGGTAAGACCAAATATATATAATCTGCTTTTATTCACTTTGAAACTGGGTAGTCAGTTAGACCAATTATTTTCTGCATATATTTTTACAGCTTGCTGCATTTTGTCATATTACAGCCACAAAATGTGTCAAACAAACTATGTCAGGACCTAACAGCATGCAGGGAAAATTGAATATGTTTTATTAAACAAAGCATCTGGGCAGTAAAACATAGCAGGGGAAGTATCATGCTGTGGGATGTTCTCATTCTAGCAGGAAAAACTGGTAAAAACTATCCAGAGATCAACCATGAAATACAATTATAAAAGGGGAGGCTGAAATTATAAATAGTTAAAAAAAATGATATCAATTTGATTAATCAGGCATCATTTCCTGGATCAAAGCTTTTTTTTATTGCAATTACTAGTGAAAGTATATTGGGGCATATCTCTACTTACTGACAACATCTAGATATTTCAGATTTTGGCTAATCTTAAGAAAATAATTTAGAGTGCATACAGGGAATCTGTCTTAAGACTTCCATGAAGGAGTTGTAGATACTCGCTTTGGTTTTTATAATCTGGACACTCTTTTTTTCCTCAACCATTCAAGTGCAATACACTACATAACTGTTAATTTAAGTCATTGTTTTTTGCTATAGCCCTCTGTGTTTATTTGTCTATCCTCATCCCCCAATACATCTTCCTACACCTTATTTAATTGATTTTTTATTCTATTTTTCTATTGTATATACTGTGTCTAAACATCCCCTTTTTTTCTTATATGTGCAATTTTTCCTGCTACTGGAAATACAATTTCCCGAAGGGAGTAATCCCAAGGGATTAATAAAGTCAAGTCTAAGTCTAAGTCTAAGTCATCCGACCATACTGACATATCTAAAACGTTTGTTTATAGCTCTACTTGTGTCTTTGTCTGCTTTAAAGCTAAAGAAATAATCCATCTTTCTTAACTCTGACAGCTTCCCTGTCTGTTTCAAAGCATCCTCACCACATTTTACCAACAAAATGTATAGAAACTTAAACACAAATCTGTATGAAATTTAAGTTTCAAAACTATAAATGCAGGGATAATGGGTTTTAATAGTAACAGTAGCTGTTAAAGTCTCCCTGCTTTGATTTCTGTCTTTAATTAAGTTTTACATCCTTGCGTAACATTAATGGTTGGCTGCAAAATCTACGTTGAAGCAGATATACAGTATGCTTAATGAGAGCCAATAAATGCATGGTTAAAAATCTCATCTATTCAATCAATACTTTAAGGTAAACAGTTTTACATCGTTACCTTTTTTAACTTAAATATAACACTTTTTAAATACTTCTTTTCATAGATTGCAGTGCAGTATTGTGCTGTCAGTATCTTACATCTTTGACAGAGCAATCGACGATCTTAGTTTGCAAAATTAGCAAATAATGATGACTCAAATCATTTTACAACATAAACATTCAATTTAGTAAAATTGGGGATGCCCCTATGTAATTTTTTAATTTCCGGTACGATACTGATTTTGACCTGATACTGTTTCAGCATAAATCATACCAAGAGATGTAGGTTTGTAGTTATTTTTTTAACCCACATGCAGAATCAGATGGAAAACCAGTGAATTTTAATGTTTTATTTGCAAAAAGCAACAAGAACAGCAGGAAGTTAGTGGAAATTTCTGGTTGGTTTGAGGGGAGAAATCAGACCGATCAGGAAGGAGTTGGTTGATGAAAACGGATTGATTTGCATACTTGAGAGATGGAGGGGAGGTAGCATGGATCTGTAGGAGTTTGAATCAGCGGGTTTTGCAGACTGAACCCCTGAGATCCAGGAGAATGTGAGTTAGATCTGAGAACGTTGGTATTTGCAAGAGACGTCATGCTGGAGTGCAGGTAGACAGGTGATGAAGACTGAGAACTGAGCACACAGGTGAGGCCTTTTCCATGAAGATCAGAGACGAACTGAGGTTCACTGCTTGTCTAGAACAATGATAGAGTCCAAGTTACAGAGATTCACAAGAAGATAAGGTAATCATCGGATGAAGAGAAATTATCATTAGCCTCCTTATATACATGCTAGTCATGTTAACTGAGAAATAGATCAGCTGTGCAGCAACATGGGTCAGCCCAGCCACTAGCAAAGATCCTCTCTGCAACAGGAAGCTCACTCACACCACAAAGGCCGCAAAACCCCAAAGACCCTAAGATAACTTATTTTATACTGTTAGAAAAGGTTTGTCCATGTGATGTTACTAAAAAAGGGAACAAAAGGTATGAAAACATTGACCCGTGTGAAATTAACCAATGAGTTACAGACACTTTTAACAGAGTGTTTCCATGAGCATGAAAATATCAGACATTTTAGATCAAATCTGACATCAGTTTTCCAATTAGTTTTGCAGATTAGTTTGCATGGGAGGATGAATCCCTGTTAATCCAACAGAAACAGTGTTTTAGTTGGAAACACCTCCGTTCAAGGACCATTAAACAACTAATGTTGAATGCACAGAAAGTAAACCCTGACACAAAGGATTTGATGCTAAGTTGATAGCTTAGCAGCCTGAGAACTAGGATAGCTGGATTAAATGTATAATAATAAAGAATCCAGACAACGGCATTAGAAATGAAAATAAATCATCTAAATGCCTGAAGAAGAAAAAAAAAACGCTCTTGAAGAAAACTTAGCGACCCCCTTGGAGTCAATTACCCTAATTTAGGAGGTATGGTTAGCAGATGTGCTACGCTGAAGCATGAGGCTGTGATTTTTTTCCTGACTTAGTTGATCTGAATCTTCCTTTGCTTTGTTCACTCAGACATAGATGAGTGCAGCTCCTCTCCATGTCACATCAATGCCAGATGCATCAATGATCTCGGATCCTTCCAGTGTCAGTGCCTGCCTGAATATTATGGGGATGGGTTCCAGTGTTCCCCTCGGTCAGGTTGGTACACTGCAGGCTGGTATAGTTGCCCACTTAGTTCCTGACGGTCACAAATGTCACACCGTGTGGCTTTGTTTGGTAAATTTGAACAGATCGGCTGAGGAGCCAATGCGAGCAGCACAGAGAACGTCTACAGAGTGAAGGACAAACAAGTGTTGGAGCTTACATCCCTCAGTGCGATTTTGATGGACAGTATCAACCACGGCAGGTAGGCTTTCGCTAATAGATTGGTTGCATTTATGTTTAATCGTAAGACTTTTAAATGTAAACAGGAGTCTAAGGATTAGGCTTTTTTTGGCTGATATTTGTTTTCCTTAATCTATATGTTGTTTATGTTGGTGCAAACCCCTATTATTTATCCCTAAGTATTCACTCAGAAATGTTCTCTTATATTTAAGCCTAAATGACTAAAATGGTTGATTTTCTGACGTGTGTTTCTTGTCCATGTGTTTTTGATCTTTATCCTTTCCAAAGACTGACTCACAAAAAATTCCAGTTTCCTTGCATCATATCAAACAATATTTCAATATATATATATACACTATATTGCCAAAAGTATTTGCTCACCTGCCTTGACTCACATATGAGCTTAAGTGACATCCCGTTCCTAATCCATAGGGTTCAATATGACGTCGGTCCACCCTTTGCAGCTAGAACAGCTTCAACTCTTCTGGGAAGGCTGTCCACAAGGTTTAGGAGTGTGTTTATGGGAATTTTTGACCATTCTTCCAGAAGCGCATTTGTGAGGTCGCACACTGATGTTGGACGAGAAGGCCTGGCTCTCAGTCTCCGCTCTAATTCATCCCAAAGGTGTTCTATCGGGTTGAGGTCAGGACTCTGTGCAGGCCAGTCAAGTTCATCCACACCAGACTCTGTCATCCATGTCTTTATGGACCTTGCTTTGTGCACTGGTGCACAGTCATGTTGGAAGAGGAAGGGGCCAGCTCCAAACTGTTCCCACAAAGTTGGGAGCATGGAATTGTCCAAAATGTCTTGGTATGCTGAAGCATTCAGAGTTCCTTTCACTGGAACTAAGGGGCCAAGCCCAGCTCCTGAAAAACAACCCCACACCATAATCCCCCCTCCACCAAACTTTACACTTGGCACAATGCAGTCAGACAAGTACCGTTCTCCTGGCAACCGCCAAACCCAGACCCGTCCATCAGATTGCCAGATGGAGAAGCGCGATTCGTCACTCCAGAGAACGCGTCTCCACTGCTCTAGAGTCCAGTGGCGGCGTGCTTTACACCACCGCATCCGACGCTTTGCATTGCACTTGGTGATGTATGGCTTGGATGCAGCTGCTCGACCATGGAAACCCATTCCATGAAGCTCTCTGCGCACTGTTCTTGAGCTAATCTGAAGGCCACATGAAGTTTGGAGGTCTGTAGTGATTGACTCTGCAGAAAGTTGGCGACCTCTTCACACTATGCGCGTCAGCATCCGCTGACCCCGCTCCGTCAGTTTACGTGGCCTACCACTTCGTGGCTGAGTTGCTGTCGTTCCCAAACACTTCCATTTTCTTATAATACAGCTGACAGTTGACTGTGGAATATTTAGGAGCGAGGAAATTTCACGACTGGATTTGTTGCACAGGTGGCATCCTATCACAGTTCCACGCTGGAATTCACTGAGCTCCTGAGAGCGACCCATTCTTTCACAAATGTTTGTAAAAACAGTCTGCATGCCTAGGTGCTTGAATTTATACACCTGTGGCCATGGAAGTGATTGGAACACCTGATTCCAATAATTTGGATGGGTGAGCAAATACTTTTGGCAATATAGTGTATATATTGAAATATTGTTTGATATGATGCAAGGAAACTGGATCTTGCTGCTTATAGAACAATGCCGCTTAGCTTTGGACTTTTACAGCTAACAGCCACTAGGGTAATACCTAAATCTATGGATTTTACCATCCACCATGTTGACGTCACATTTGCTTCAACACACAAGTGCGGGAATGCGGAGGTCCTCCGGAAGCAGACTTCTACCGCGAGTGGTACGAGACAGAATGACAGTGAGAAAGACAGACATTGCGAGCGCAAGACAGTTTGTGTTAAACATAAAAAACCTGTGGCTTATAGTCCGGTGCGGCTTGTATATGTACAAATCATGCAATTTAGCTTCTGCGGCTTATATTCAGGTCCGAAAATTACGGTACTTCAAAACAATGTTCTTGTTTTTTTTACCCAATATTAAACTTGAATTGGACTAAAATCCGCTCTTGGAATATAAACTGAGTGTTTATAATATCATTCAGCTTTTTCTTCCACTTAACCCTCCGTACTTTGCAAACCTTATTCAGTGTCTTTTAAGCTTTTTAGTAATAAATCATGAGAGGTGGTTAGAACTTTCTGTTGCATAAAAAGCAGTTAAATAAAAATCCTTCTGCATTGGCCATATGTAATTTTTTAATTTTTGGATAAAGTAATTTTTTTGTTCCTTTCAACAATATTAAAAAAAGACAGAAATTAAGAGTTGAAGTATATTATTCTGTCCTGATACTATCTGTGATATACAGTGAGGAAAATAAGTATTTGAACACCCTGCTATTTTGCAAGTTCTCCCAGTCCCAATCATGGAGGGGCTCATGTCCACTGTGAGAGACATAATCGGAAAACAAATTGTATAAATTACAATATATGATTATTTTTTGATTATTTATTAGTATAATACATCGGTGGGGAGAGCTTGGAAAATATCATGGTGTTCAAATACTTATTTTCTCACTGTAATTTTTAGAATAATTCAAAATTCATTTTTGATTATACTAATTTTTTAAGCTATTTCAATATATTCAACATTTTTTTAAATGTGGGTCTTTAGAAACTAAAGAAGATGAGCTGATTCTGCACATGACTGATTCTTTGCAGTGCCATGGTTCTACTGGACAATGTTGGTGTGTGGACAGTAGAGGAGAGGAAAGACCGGGAACCAGGACTCCCCCTGGAGCAGCGCCTGTTGAATGTGAAACACCAGGTAAAACCTTATTTACCTGGGTCAGTTAATTAGATAAAGTAATCATTCCCTGGGTGTTAATCTGGGTGTTATGTTTGGTTTCACTTTCAACCAGATCGCCCAAAGACTCAATGTGAGCACCACAGAGACAGTGTTCGGACCGACAGTAACGATGGACGTCTAATAAATGGAGCTTATGTACCTCAGTGTGATGAAAATGGGCAGTACAGACCTCTGCAGGTCAGTACATAGAATAGGGCTTATTTCACCTGCTGTTGTCTTCCTAGCATCTCCAACCAGTCTATTTATGCACACATGTTGCTTACTGGATATTTTCTCCATTTTGGAATCTGAGAGAGTTGTTGGTGAAATTCCCAGTAAATTAGCATTTTCTGAAACATAAGAAACCATAAACAATGAGGTTTAAATTCCCCTTCTTCCATGCTTGGATTTCACATTAACCAGGCAAAATATATGAGAAAGAAATTGAACAGTGTACCAACTGAAGTGTTATTTTATTCAACTTGCTAGAAGGAGCCTTAAAGCTGAGGAGTACCTGAATTTTCATCTTGCTGAGCTCAGTTCTTTTGTCTCCTGTGGTTTGATGTTGAAATAAAAAGCTATTTTTTATGAGAAAACACATCTATATAAATCTTTGTATCATCTGCATAACGAAACACCCTGACAAGATTTCTCCTTTTTTAGTGCCACGGCTCTACTGGATATTGTTGGTGTGTGGACAGTAGGGGGGAAGAAAGACCAGGAACCCGTTCTCCACCTGGTTCACCCCCCATAGACTGCGACAAACCTGGTAAGTGGTTCTTCCCCACTTCACACGACCCCCCGGAAGGTATCTTATCGGTGGATAATATCCGAGAGCATAAGCAGGTTTATTATGTCACGTCGTTTTAAAGCCACCTGTGAACCCACTAATTCCTCAACTAAGAGCCAACTCAGATGGCGTGTTTACGTGAACTTGTGAGCTATGTGCTGTTGAGGTTACTGGGTCATAGGCTTGGAATGCCTGGAAAAACAGGTGGGTGGTAAAGAGCAGGGTTGGTGGCCAGCGCCATAGTCGTAGTAACTCCTGACAAGTTGAAGAGAAATATAACAAGCAGGTCTTAAGTGGTGGTATGTTTGTAGATTCAGTTCTTTATAGGCTTCCTTTAACGTTTCTAAGCTCCTAAATAGATTTTTATAGGTTAATAAATGTCATAAGCAGGGAACACTACTCTTTTTATCATTCAAATTGTCAGTTTTATGAATTACTTAGAGATTCCCATCTTCTATTTATTTTCTTATGGGCTATCCTTTGCATCTTTCTCAACCTCATGACTTAGATCGTCCAAAAAGCCTCTGTGAGCACCACAGAGACAGTGTTCAGACCACAGACTCGGATGGACGGCCTCTTCTTGGAGCTTTTGTTCCTCAGTGTGATGAAAATGGACAGTATCTCCAACAGCAGGTTTGTATCTTTTGAGAACTTCCTGATGATTTTGGTGTCACTTAAACAGCATCACAACAACAACCTTACTGTTTCCAGTGCCATGGTTCTACTGGACATTGTTGGTGTGTGGACAGTAGGGGGCAGGAGAGAGCAGGAACCAGGACTCCACCTGGTACACCTTCTGTGGACTGCAGCAGAGCAGGTTCATATTTCCTATATGAAGTCTTTTGATAAGAATCACCTGAAGGATGGGCCACATACTAATATAACATATTTAGATCAACGATATTCCTATTGTTGTACAGCTGTTCAAAGACAATTATATTTTTTCCTCCACAGAGATGCCTCCAGCTTTTATTTAGATGTTAATACCGAGATCAATGAACGTTCTGTATGAATAGTGTAAATGTGCAACATCATCTTCCAACAGATGAGCCAGAACGTCCAAAGACTCGCTGTGAGCATCACAGAGACGGCGTTCAGAACTCCGGTTCAGATGGACTTCCTCCAATTGGAGCCTACGTACCTCAGTGTGATGAAAATGGACAGTATCTACCAGAACAGGTTAGCGTCTATTAAATGTTTCTCTGTTTTTGCTTTCACATTAAGCTATTTCCCTGTTTCACATACGTTTACTGTTCCCAGTGCCATGGTTCCACTGGACATTGTTGGTGTGTGGACAGCATTGGACAGGAGAGGTTGGGAACCAGGACGCCACCCGGGTCACTCCGTGTAGACTGTAGCAGAGAAGGTAAGGCTTCATACTATGGAAGCAAATCGTTACCATATTTAAAATGAAAAAGCATTTTCAGAAATGCTTTTTCATTTTAAGAATGTGGCTGCATTGTTTGACTCATAAATGAAATTAGTAATCAATAATCCTGTTTGCATTTTCATTTTCTTCTTCAACACTGCTCATCTTTTTACTTAATTAAAATGAAAAAGACATTTTAGATTTATTTTTCAAAATGTACCCCAGCAAATACATACAATGCAGCCACATTCTTAAAGTGAAAAAGCATTTCTGGAAATGCTTTTTCACTTTCAAATTTTACATTTCAAATTAAATTTTGGTATGTATTTGCTGGGGTACATTTTGAAAAATAAATCTCAAATGTCTTTTTCTTTTTCATTTTAAGTAAACGGATGAGCAGTCTTGAAGAAGAAAATTAAAATGCAAATATGATGACTGATTACTAATTTCATTTATGAGACAAATAATGCAGCCACATTCTGAAAATGAAAAAGCATTTCTGGAAATGCTTTTTCATTTTAAATATGGTAATGATTTGCTTCCATTTCATACAAATTAAGAGTTATGGTGCATTATGTTTGCAAAAAAAAGTAAAGGTGTATTTACAGTTTAAACCTGCATCTCAGCACAGCTCTTTGATTTTCCCATAAAAAGGAAGATCTGCTCCACTTAAATGAATGAACTGGACATCTAGTACTGCAGATTTCCAGGGTATAAATGACCAATTTTGTCTTTATTTAGGGCAAATGCTTCTCTTATTTTTGTAACTGTATGTCCATTATGCATCCAGGTCTCAAAGAGTGGCAGTGTTTGTGGCTTGCAGTTAAAGTGGGATATTTAATGTTTATTGAAAGTCAGCAGTACCCATGAAGAGAAAACACTTAAAAAAAATAGCCCCCTGTAGTTGTTTTCATTTTTACTGGTTAAATTGCCCTGAAGTGTATATATATTCACTGTTTTCATAATCACTTGGAGCTAAATTTAACAGGTTGTTGTAATGTTTGACGTTTCTCAAAAACAGAGGCTGCAGAGTTCATGTCGCTTTCAGAAGTGGAGAGGACTGTATTTACACATGTAGATAGATTTGTTGGTGCTCCTTAGTTAATAAAAGAAAACCAACATTTGTCACAGAAATAACTTAAATCTGAAAAAAAAAGAATACGAATTTAAAAATATATGCAAGCAAACAAATTACAGTCTGGCATTGCTTTTAAACCAATGCCTCAACACAACAACAAAAAAATAAACTCATGAAACAGGCATGGGCAAAAGTGTCGGTACCCTTAACTTAATATTTTGTTCTTACCTAATCTCTTGATACAATCACTGCAATCAAATGATTCCTGTAACTTATAATGCGATATCAGCTCCTCTCAGTAGGTATTTTGGCCCACTCCTCGTGCCTTTTCCTGATGACGTTTAGCTCCTTCCAAAGATGCTCAATAGGATAAGGGTCATGGTTCATTAAAGGCCCCTTCAGAATGGTCCAATGTTTGCCTTTTAGCCATTCTTGGCTGTTTTGGGTCATTACCCTGTTCTAAGACCCATGACCTGCAACTGAGACTAAGCTTTCTGACCCAGAGCTGCACATTTCTCTCTAGAATCCCTCGATAGTCTTCAGATTTCATTGAATCCTGCAGAGATTCGAGCCACCCCATAATTGATGAAGCAAAGCAGCTCCAGAACATAACAGCATCCTCCATGTTTCACAGTAGAGACACAGTGTCCTTTTCTAGATATACTTCATTTTTCCACCTATGAACATGGAGCTGATGTGCCTTTGCAATAAGTTCCACTCTTTGATGACATTCTCCCTGAAGCTTTGCAGCTTCTCAACATGTAGTTTGACAAATTCCAGTCTGGGTTTTTAAATATTTGCTTCCCACAATGTTGTCCTGGTTGGTCGTCACCTATTAAGTCCATAAACAATGACTGATGGTGTGATCTGACACTGATGATCCATTAAGCTGAAGTTCACCTTTAACCTCTTGGGAACTTTTTCTTTTGTTAGCATTAGTCTTATCCGTCTCTTTGGTTCGTCATTAATTTTCCTTCTGCAGCCATGTGCAGGCAGTTTGGCTACAGTCCAATGGTTCTTACATTTCTGAATAATATGTGCAGCTTTAATTGGAGGAACATCGATCTGCTTGGAGATGGTCATATAGCCTTTAACTTTAACATGCTTGTATATAATTTTATTTCTAAACAATTTCCTTTGCATTCTCTGGTCCATGTTGAGTGTGGTACATACCATGTTACCAAACAACACAGTGATCACCTCTAGCCATATAAATAGGCCCACTGACTGATTACAAGTTTGTAGATACTGGGTTGCTTGATTTAACATGTCCCTTTGCTTACATTATTATCAGTGTTTTCTAGGGGTACTACTTTGTTGGTTCTTTAGGATTCTGTTAAAGCATGTGTTTGGTTCAAAAATGTAGGTTCGTAAAAGAAGGACTGAGTACACACAGAAAGGGATTTTCAACAGCTTCCTGCAGGAGGGGAGAAAGAGCTGCAACCAAACACTACTCTCTCTCTGCCCCCCCTCCATCTGCTGTGGCTTTTATTAACAGAACATAACACATGGTTACAAAACAGAGTATTGTTCTGACAGGTCATAAGACAGGATGCTCCACTGATTGAATCATAAGACAGAGTGAAGCATCTCCTTTCCCCAATGTTCTATATGCACATACATTAATTTTATAATCAACATTGAATAAACCTAACAGCATGTTTGAAAAGCAATGTCTGACTTTAATTTGTTCACTTTCATAGATTTTTTATTTATTGTGAATTTTTATGACCACTGTGTTTTTTTCTTTCATCACACAACGGGTAGCGGCAATTTTGTCCACATGTCTTTCAACTTTTTGTATACATAAACATGTTTATATGAATAAATCCATGTCCTGTTACTGCATAAAGCAATCCCTCATTACCTACTCTTTACCATCATGCCTCACACTTGATAAGGTTTAAAAGCTCCAAAGGAAAATATAATTATAAACGAACATTAGTGATTCAGTGTCCTCTGTCTACCTCTTCTGCTAATGTTGCACGTTTCTCAATAATCTCTGCAAATGTGTGTCTTGATCTCAGGTGAGCCAGAGCGTCCAAAGACTCACTGTGAGCTTCACAGAGACAGTTTTCTGGCCTCCGGTTCAGATGGACGTCCTGTCGTTGTAGCCTACGTACCTCAGTGTGATGAAAACGGGCAGTATCTACCAGAGCAGGTTAGATTCATTTCGCTGGTATAATTTTTTTTTACTTCCTGTTTCTAGTAAAGCTTTAATGTGCTTCTGTTTATAAACTAAATAGAAGTTAGTAGAAAAATATTTAAATTGTGTCCTCTAGCCTTGATGTGGTGGGTGGTGTTTATTTCAGGGCTGCAACTAACAATAAAATGTTTTGATTAATCGATTAGTAATCGGATAGTTAAAGGTTAATTAAAGAAGATCTTTTACGAAATTAAACCAGGTGAAACAAAAACTTTTCCACTTCAGGAGTTCTAGAAAGAGCATATCGACAGACGAAGGGTTCATATTTTTTATCTTAAATGCAAAATGCTTATATATATATATATATATATATATATATATATATATATATATATATATATATATATATATATATATATATATATATATATATATATATATATATATATATATATATTATATTTTTTTTTTTTTTTTTTTTTTACAATTTTGGGATAAGTGCTGCTCCAAGTGGGTTTCTCTGTCAGCTAAAGGCATGTTTTACTGACTCAACACTCAAGTTAACGATTAATCGATTACTAGATTAGCTGAAGGTTATTTCAATAATCGATTAATCAAATTAATTGTTTCAGCCCTTGTTTATTCATGTTCTCGTTACGTCTTATATGTTTTAGGACATTAAATATATATATATATATATATATATATATATATATTTAAAAACAGATGAACAGCTGTCTGACAACAAAAAGTAGGCTAAAAGATCTCAAAAAGGAATGAATCATACCCTGATCAAAATGAAATAAAAAAAGAGAGATGAGAGACAAACTAACTGGCATCTGTCAGCAGCATACAGTTCTGTGTTTATCATAGGCATCTGTCCATCTGAAAAAGTTCTTAAGTCTTTCTAAGGTTTGAATGTTCAGTAAACCACAGCTGGAGCCATAATCCAAATATGGAGAAAACTCAACAGTGGTATAACCTTCCCAGGACTGGAAGGTTAGTTCCAAAAGTACATCCAGGGTAAAGGTCAGTGTTCATGATTCAACAAAAGGAAAGAGAGATGAGGCAAACCCCTGCTGATCTCATAGGACTAACAAAAGTTAACCAAACCATTTCTATAAGGACTTTAGGGGGAAAAAAAATGCTGACTCTCAATCTAAAAGGGAATCTGTTCTGAAGGTGACTGTCCCGTTACATCTGGAGTAAAAATCAAACTGAATTTTAGGGGAAAAAAAGCATCATACTGCTAAAACACAGTAGTGGTGGGGGGATGGTCTGCAGCCCTTCATGCTCCAAAATCCTTCAGTCTGTCTGTAGAAAAACTTCCTCAGCAACAATGTTAAAACCCTTATTTCCAGCCATTTGAAATGCTTAATAGCTTTTTGCACAGAGAAAATGGCAGAACCAGTTATCAGGTTTAGAGGGGCAGTTACTTTTTGTTTTAATTGTGTCACGTTGGTTTGACAAGCTTTAAGTAAGATGAATGTATTCATCATTTGAAAACTGCCTTGTGTTTGTACACGGTCTGTCATTGATAATATTTGCTGTTCTGAAACATTTGAGGAAGATGAAAAAGAAAAATGAATGAAGATATGGGTCAGGGGCAGACACTTTATTACAGGTCTGAAGCAGAAAAGATAATTTTACACAATGGTGAGCAGGCAGCTGCTAATATGTTAGTGTTTACCAAGATTAGCCCATATAGCATGAGTGAAATGCAGATCTTTCACTCCAAGAATTAAAAAGGGCGATCACATTTTCAATTTCCCTATAGCAGGCAGAGATTACAATTTAAAGACAGCAGCTTAAGTCTAATATTGTTAGCCTGTGTGAGCTAAATGTCTGGCTCTCTCTCACTCGCCCCAATATGCTGTGGAAAATGGATAATTTTTAAACGTTTCTTCTCTGTCCTCAGACTTAAGTTCAAACTCACTCAATATCAACTTCCACATCGAAGGGTGTTATCACCATTCATTTTCAGCACTCGTGTGTCTGAAAAATATCGGGTTTGCGAGTTTTAAGCTAAAAAAATGTGTCCACTTCTAATTCTCCTTGTTCATCTCAGGTGTGTACGGTTCAATATGAGACTCCTCAGAGCTACATGTTCATTCTTTACTGTTGTAGTGCGACGGTTCTACCGGATACTGTTGGTGTGTAGATGAAAGGGGGCAGGAGCTGGCAGAAACCAGGACTCCACCTGGTACGCCTCGTATGAACTGCAGCACAGCAGGTAGGATCCCTGAGCAATATGGAGGCTGGAGACTTATGGAGAGATATTTGTGCCATCGGTTTGAGCGCGCAGGAACCAATCCGAGCGCGCAGTGAGACAACAAGCGCACGTGCAAAGCCGGTCTGGCGCGCGCTCAACTCTGTAAAACCCTCTGAACACACACTGTTCTCGCGCTCAGTTTCATCTCTGCGCGTGCTCGAATCCGTCTCTGCTCGCGCTCGACCTGCTCTCTCTCCGCGCTCAACACCAGCTGTGCGCTCGGCTATGGCAAGCTCGACTCTCTGCGCTCGCAACTTCAGCAATGTATGTAAATGAACCATACCATCAGCCAATCACACTCAGCTTCTTTTCATCCAATGAAAGCATTCGTTCCTTCTTCTTCTTCTTTTTTATCATGGCGGATCGCAAGCAACTTTAAGGTGCATACCGCCACCTACTGTTCATGAGTGTGTAGCAACATTGTTTTACATCTATTAAATTCTATTTTTTTATTTTGTATTCTGCAGATAACTAATTAATGCTTTCCTTAATCTATAAATATCCTTTATATTTCCTTTATTTCCCAATAATCCTTTAAGACTCCATTCTTGGCCTGTCATTTCAACTACTCTTCTCAATTTCTCCCTTTCAGGTTCATATGTTTTACAGTTCATTAATACGTAAGCATTCGTTCCAAATACTACACCGGGTTAAATGAAAAAATAAAAATAAAAACACAATCAGGAAAATCAAACAACTCTTACAGTTATTTTGTCAACATTCCTAAGATGGTACTATAAAATATCTTGAATTATCTCAAATAAACTTCAGTAAAACAGTTATTAGATCATTGCCTCATCCATCTCTTTTACCTGCTATTGACATGGATTTAAATTTGCTGTTTTAAAAGAAAAATAAGGAGGATATTTCAGGTTCAAGTATGGTTCAACAATATATAGATAAAAAATATTATGGATATGTTAAATTTTTTATGGATGCTTCAAAATATTCCAATATTAGGAATGGTGTTTTGTTTTAGTTCCAGAATTTATTTTTAAATCGGGTAAAAGAATCAGTGATGGAATTCAGCCTACAAAGGAGAAAGGTTTTGGATCATATTGGCCTTACAATGGATTGAAGAAATCGTTCCATTAAGAAGTTTAGTTTGCTCTGATTTTAGATCAGCAACCGTTATATTAATTTAAACACAATTATTCAGACAGCAGACCTGATCTGAAATTTAACAATTATTATTTAGAAGACCTTTTACAGATGGACTCTAAATAAGAGGGTTATTCTTTATTATATATATTAAAAAGAATAATTTGATAAACAGGGTTTTTCAGTTGGTGGCGGTAATTGTTGTTTGCCAACCTCCATAAAAAACAACAAAAAGAAGAAACACCCGCCACAAAAGCTAAGAGTAAGGCCAATATGATCCAAAACATTATCTATATACTGTTGAACCATACTTGACCCTGAAATATCCTCCTTATTTTTCTTTTAAAACAGCAAATTTAAATCCATGTCAATAGCAGGTAAAAGAGATGGATGAGGCAATGATCTAATAACTGTTTTACTGAAGTTTATTTGAGATAATTCAAGATATTTTATAGTACTATCTTAGGAATGTTGACAAAATAACTGTAAGAGTTGTTTGATTTTCCTGATTGTGTTTTTATTTTTATTTTTTCATTTAACCCGGTGTAGTATTTGGAACGAATGCTTACGTATTAATGAACTGTAAAACATATGAACCTGAAAGGGAAAAATTGAGAAGAGTAGTTGAAAGGACAGGCCAAGAATGGAGTCTTAAAGGATTATTGGGAAATAAAGGAAATATAAAGGATATTTATAGATTAAGGAAAGCATTAATTAGTTATCTTCAGAATACAAAATAAAAAAATAGAATTTAATAGATGTAAAACAATGTTGCTACACAATCATGAACAGTAGGTGGCGGTATGCACCTTAAAGTTGCTTGCGATCCGCCATGATAAAAAAGAAGAAGAAGAAGGAAGGAACGCTTTCATTGGATGAAAAGAAGCTGGGTGTGATTGGCTGATGGTATGGTTCATTTACATACATTGCTGAAGTTGCGAGCGCAGAGAGTCGAGCGAGCGGAGAAACAGCCGAGCGCACAGCTGGTGTTGAGCGCGGAGAGAGAGCAGGTCGAGCGCGAGCAGAGACGGATTCGAGCACGCGCAGAGATGAAACTGAGCGCGAGAACAGTGTGTGTTCAGAGGGTTTTACAGAGTTGAGCGTGCGCCAGACCGGCTTTGCGCGTGCGCGTGTTGTCTCACTGCGCGCTCGGATTGGTTCCTGCGCGCTCAAACCGATGGCACAAATATCTCTCCATAGAGACTGACCTGCAAAACGGTTCAAGCAGGAAATTGAAATGAACTAATGTGATGACATTATATTTGTTGAGCTTAAAGGTATAGTGGAGGATTTTTGCGAATTTCTGAAAAGAATAAAAAAAATGCACATGCACAACCCTGTACCTGCTGTTGAGAGGGAGCTCCTATTAAAAGCGTGCATTAGCCTATATCATCTCGTGCATGCTCTGTTTAAAAGTTGCTGTTTGCATCGGTCATACAAGCTTACTTTCCAAAAGAAGATTTTAAATTTTCCAATATGTCAGACTCACCACTGGCAACTGAAAATTGGGAAAAGCACATAGGATGGCCTTAGGTAAACATATCACCAGAATGATTGACAATTAGGAGGACCTTATATTTTGATGATCCACTCGGAAAAAGAACATCCACCGCTTTGTCTTTAATAACCCGACCATCAACAGTTTCTTAATTATTATAATTCCTAAATACATTTTGTAATAGAGTTTTCTATTAAGTGTAATATGTATAAATGCATTTTCTTCTTCCAACAGATGAGCCACAGCGTCCAAAGACTCACTGTGAGCATTACAGAGACAGTGTTCAGACCTCCAGTACAGATGGACTTCCTCCAGTTGGAGCCTACGTACCTCAGTGTGATGAAAACGGACAGTATCTACCAGAACAGGTTAGACATTTATCACTTTCTCTTCATTTAACTTCACATTATGACACTTGGGAGTCCTACTTCTTTCATGAGCAGCACATAATGTTTTTCTTCTTCTGTTTCCAGTGTGATTATTCCTCTGGACATTGCTGGTGCGTGGACAGTCAAGGACAGGAAAGAGGAGGAACCAGGACTCCACCTGGTTCACCTCGTGTAGACTGCAGCAGAGAAGGTGAGGATCTATACCAATCAATTCCCTTATATATGTATTTGCTTCTACTTTAGACCCAATCTCATTTTGATTTTTTTTTTGGATGTTTTTTTAACAGATGAGCCACAGCGTCCAAAGACTCACTGTGAGCATTACAGAGACAGCGCTCAGACCTCCAGTCCAGATGGACTTCCTCCACTTGGAGCCTACGTACCTCAGTGTGATGAAAGCGGACAGTATCTACCACAACAGGTTAGACTTTCCCATTTTCCTTAATATTGAATAGTTTTATGCTCATATACCATTTAATACTATATATGGTGTGTCTATACTGTGGCAGTGCCATGGTTCTACTGGACATTGCTGGTGTGTGGACAGCAGAGGACAAGAGAGAGCAGGAACCAGGACACCACCTGGTGCCACACCTGTAGACTGCAGCAGAGGAGGTGAGGCTCTACATCTCATCAATACATGAAAATAGTCCAGAATAAAAATAATAACAATAATAATTGAACTTAATTGATCTCACATCGGAGAAATTTACCAGAGTGAGGGACTGTGTAAGTGGACCTCAGGATTCCAAGCTCTATCCTCTAACCACTAGGCCGCCACTCCCCCAATGAATCTAAATATTGAATCTTAACTTGAAGTTAGATTGGAGATAAAGACTAATGTTTCTAACTGAAAGAGGTCAGAAAACACATTCATATGCTGTATGTCCAAAATTAAATTGGAAAAACGTGTGTTGTTTTCTTGCAAAAAAGCCCAGATGATCGTCCCTCCACCTCTGGGCTGTAGAGTGAGTTTTATTTTTTTTATTTTTTTATTTTTTTATATTGTGTTTTATAGCATACCATTAAAACTTTGGTTTTATCTCTCCTAAAAAAGTTATTTTCTCTGTTTGATAGCTCCACAGCACTGCCATTCCACTCTTCTCCTTATTCTGTCATGAACTCAGATGTTTAATCAGAAAACTTCGTTCATGAGGCCAGAGATGGAGCAGTTGGATTTTGTATATTTATATTTTTATTAAATAATCCCAATGGCTATTGAGTCCAGTCATCCTTCCATAAAATGAGGAACCTAGCAAAGCCTCAGAAGGAGCTGTAGGGTCCAAAATGTAAAAGATAGTCTGCATCGAAACAGCAAATGTTAATAATTCCTATTGCAGGCAGTGAGAGCTCTAAGTGGTTTGGTCTATTTTACACATTAGGCAAGTTAAAATTCAAAGTAATTCAACAACTGCTCAGCCTAGAACAGGTCTAGAACATATTGCTTGATGAGATCTACCCTTAGTTTGAGTATTTAAAGGGGAACACCAGTTTTTCTACATTGGGCCCTTGATTTTATGTTATCACATTCTACTCACTCATATTAGTTTTGTGTCATTTGAAACCGTTCTGAAGATATTCCGTTAGGTTATATCCAAGTAACGTCTTCCTATGGGCAACGACTTGAAGGCATAAACTAGACTGTTCATAATTTATCATTTATGGTACACCGGCATTCATAACATGTAGGCGAATTACCGGTACTGTCCGCCAGACATCCGCGGTTATATTTTTTATATTTATATATTTATATATATTTTTAAGCGGAGTGTGTATGACTTCATCGTCGCACGCCAGCTACCATTCATTCATCCTGTCCGCTGAATTGCTGCTAGTTTTACTCACATGCCTGTTTTAAAACATATAAATATAAAAAATATAACGGCGGATGTCTGGGGGACAGTGATTCGCCTACATGTTATGAATGCTGGCGTACCATAAATGATCAATTATGAACAGTTCAGTTTGTGCCTTCAATTCGTTGCCCATAGGAAGACGTTACTTGGATATAACCTAACGGAATATCTTCAGAACGGCTCCAAATGACACAAAACGAATATGGGTCGGTAGAACATGATATAATTCCCCTAAGTTTTGATGATGTTATCTTTGAGAAGAGAAACATGAACTTTTCATAATAACCCTGTTGAATCATCGATAGATTAATGCACTAAACTGCTATCCATGTCCAAATTGACTGACTAGTACCAAAGATTCCTTAAAGGCCTTCCAGGCCTTCAACTGTTAGGTGATAATACTTCTGTTACAAAGGAGGCTGTAAAACTGTATGTTCTTTTTGTTTTTCTTTTTTTAACAGATGAGCCACAACGTCCAAAGACTCACTGTGAGCATTACAGAGACAGCGCTCAGACCTCCGGTCCAGATGGACTTCCTCCACTTGGAGCCTACGTACCTCAGTGTGATGAAAGCGGACAGTATCTACCACAACAGGTTAGACTATCCCATTTTCCTTAATATTGAATAGTTTTACGCTCATATACCATTTAATACTATACATGGTGTGTCTATACTGTGGCAGTGCCATGGTTCTACTGGGCATTGCTGGTGTGTGGACAGCAGAGGACAAGAGAGAGCAGGAACCAGGACTCCACCTGGTGCCACACCTGTAGACTGCAGCAGAGGAGGTGAGGCTCTACATCTCATCAATACATGAAAATAGTCCTTAAATCTAAATATTAAATCTCATCTTAAAGTTAGATTGGAGATAAAGACAAATGTTTATAACTGAAAAACATCAGACATGAAATTGTGGACAGTTAACCAGTTTTCCAAGATCTCTTTATTTCATTTATATTTACAAATGTTTGTCCAACTTTTAAATAGAGAAACTTATTGTTTTTCTAATTTGCAAAAAAGCCCAAATGATATTCTTTTTAGCTTAAGGTCCAAAGTTAGCATACATTTTTTTGTTTGCTTGTGTGTGATGTCTGATTTTCTATCAGCAAACCAAACCCAAATCATTATCCCTCCTCCTCCATGCATTCTATACACCCCATTGGAGCTATTGTCCTGCATGTCTTTGGCACAGCATGCCTGTATCAAATTAATTATCCTCAAACAAATTAGTGTAATTGAGTGATTTTAAACAGGTTTTTTCAAAGCAATGACATATTTAACCTACGGTACATGACATTATCCCTTCAAGATTGGAGCTAACCAGCTCTACATGACCTCAGAACAAATTATAGACCCCGATTTAGAAAACAGATCAAATACTGCATAGACAAACAAGCAGTAAGTTGATTGGCCCACCTGGGCACTTCATGTGATATACCAACTAAAAATAGATCTATATTTTACAAATCGTTACAATTTAGAAAGAACATTGCTTATTATTTTATAACACCACCTTTCCATGGAATGACCATTATGCAGTGCACCTTTTGTACCCTCAGGTGATTGATTCAGCAGCGCACCATGACAGGTCCAAAGGGTTGTATATTGTTATACAGCTTAACCCTGCTGTGAACATCTCCAGAATCTTATCCCTAATATAAACCTTGAAAGATAATCTGTTTCTTCCTTGTCTGTGGTAGCATTCATTTGTCCTACTGCTGCCATCTTTAGTCTAGATTAGCTGTTATTTTCCCTTTACTGTCCCTGACTTTGTACTCCAACATCACCCAGGCTGTGCTATAGCAACTTGGTATATACCTCATTTACACTACCCTTGATAAACCCTGCCGAGACCGGTCCGAGCTCAGTAACTGAGATAACTTATCGTGTTTAAATTAAAAGCAAACTGAACTGACCAGAGATAGACACAACCGAACTGCGCTGACTGCAGACCAGTTCCAGAGGTGGGCTCGGGTCGGGTTTTCCCTGGCTCGATTCTCTGATAACAAGAGTGCATGAGCAGAACGCGTCATCTCCGTCTGGCTGCACATCCCAATTCACACTCCATTCCAGTAGTTGGCGGTAATGCCCCTCCGGAAGTTGCTTGCCAACCAACACAAAACAGAAGAAGAAGAACAACTATAAACAACAATCGAAATCTTCTTCACGCAACATTTTGATGTGCTTGATTCCCTCCTTCTTTGCTTCTTCTTCTTGTGTTTTATGGCGGTTGGCAAACAACTTTTGGTGCATTACCGCCACCAACTGCTTGATTTCCTCCTTCAATACTGGCAGTAATACCGCAGATCGTCACTAGGAGGCGAGGAGTCGAGATAGCCTGATGTGTAAACGGTCGTCAGAACCGAGCTCGGCCTGGTTAACTGATCCGAGCTCGGACCGGTCTCGGCATGGATCGGTTTTTCAAGGGTAGCCTAAATGGGATATTAGTCTCCCTGGGAAGTCTGAGAAGTGAAAACATCCTATAGTTGGACTGAAGTCTCCCTTCTTATGAAGATGGACCACCACCCCAGTCTGCCTCTCCATGGGTACTCTACCCAGACACATTGCAATTTTGAAGAGCTGTGGCAACCACAACCATGGCACAATAGCTCAGATATACCTCCATCCTAGGGCCTTACTACCATTACAACACCTTGTTGTCTTCAACTTGTGTGCTGAATGAGTCTTCTTAGTCCTCAGTCTCAGCTTACAGTAAGAAAGGAAGGTAAGCAGGGTTGAGGAGATCATACAAGTATTCCTTCCACTTTCCAACAGTTTTGAGGTTAGCACTTCCCAACCCCCACTGTAAACAGCTCTAGGGAAGCACTGCTTCCCCCTACAGAGGCACTGGATGGTTTGCCAGGCTGTATACTATTGCAAAAGCTTCAGATATTTGAGCCTTGAATAGCGTGGACTATTGACATACTGTGTAGAAGTCATTGCTGTGCCAATGCGTATGATCCAATCATTCTCGTCTCTTACCTATAATCTTTTTGGGTTGCCTCAAACATGGAGATGTAAGCTATAACCAAACATCTCATATATTGTAATTTCTCCAAAAATTAAATGCAATTCATTATATGTTAATTTTGTTCTTCCAACAGATGAGCCACAGCGTCCAAAGACTCACTGTGAGCATTACAGAGACAGTGTTCAGACCTCCGGTCCAGATGGACTTCCTCCACTTGGAGCCTACGTACCTCAGTGTGATAAAGACGGACACTATCTACCACAACAGGTTAGACTATCATCAGTTTAGTTACTTTAAACTGTTAGCCCTTGAAATTAAACACATCATCAAGTCTTCACTGTCTCTGGTTCTGCTGCAGTGCCATGGTTCTACTGGACATTGCTGGTGTGTGGACAGCGAGGGACAAGAGAGGGCAGGAACCAGGACTCCACCTGGTACACCTCGTGTAGACTGTAGCAAAGCAGGTGAGGCTCCAAATCAAACTTTAATCGTGCTAATATAGCAGTAGTTGTATCTGCTTAGAGGATCCATTTCTGATTATGTAGCATTCTAGATGATTTCAGTTGTAATTACATCTAGTCACAATATTTTCTTTATATAATTGTTAGCCCAGGAGGAATCTCAGGGAGCCATTTCAGCATTTGTTTCTTGCTGAAATTGAGTGTCATCAGCATATTAAATTATATAGACAATAGACTGCACTGATGCATGTTGTGTCACAGTTTTTCCCGCCATGGTAGGCCAAAAAAAAAGTATAAAAGATTAAATGTTTTCCAGATGAATCAGAGCCTCCTAAAACTCGGTGTCAGAATCATAAGGAAAGGGGATATGTACCTCAGTGTGACGATGATGGACAGTACATACCACTGCAGGTTTGTATACATGAAATTCCCTCTTTGAACAGACACCTTTGATACCTTTTTAAGATAAAGGCGTATGCTACTCAATCTTTATGGGTGTTTTAGTGCCAGCCCTCCACCGGTTATTGTTGGTGTGTCAACAAAGATGGAGAGGAGAGAGAAGGAACCAGGACACCGCCTGGGACTCAACCAAAGGACTGTACGAAACCAGGTGAGACACTTGGGTTTAGATCAATTAACTATTAGAAGGAATATAAGAGTATTAAGTTTATTTCACTTTGTTGAATGGAATCCATTGGATTAATCAGAGTTAAATTTATTGCTATTAGAAAAGCACAAGAAACCCTTTTAAAATACCTTCATTTCTGGAACTCGATGCTCTTAAAACTCACAGTCAGAGCACTGGGCAGCATTCAGGACCAGTATCTCTTGTTAAAATTTTTGTTCCTCGCTATGATGTACCTAATGCACAGGTGACTCTAGAGTTTTTATTTAATTAAATCCTAGTATGTGCTCATTGATCCTGTTCCACTTAAATCTTATATTGCTGTATAGGTAAGAGCTATTTAAGCAGGGATTGGATTACAGCAGTGTGTTGGTGTGTTAAGACAGTCAAATACATATTAAAATGGCAAAAAAAGTGGTGAAAACATTTATTTTCTCAGTTTGATTTATTTCATTCATGTTCACAGACTTCTATTTTTTCTCTTATGAACCAAGTCGGCATCACAATTAGGCAACTGTCTAAATGGAAGATTGATTCTAAAACCGAGATTTATATTTCCTGATAAGAGTCTTGAATTTAAAGCGAGTACACTTTCTTTTTAACATAAATGAGTGGGATACAACATAAAAAAAAACTTTACTTGTTCTATGGCATTAAATAATTAGCTGTTCTTCATGCAAGATTCATTGAAAATTCAACACACAAGGATGCTTTTGAACATGTGCAGAAGTTGCTCTCCAGGTTTCTGGTCAAAATAATTGATGTTCAGATTGACTGTAGCACCTATTATTAGCTTATAGCTGTATTGAAGTTCCTTAGGTTATCTAAAGGTTACCGATATTTGCAAATCAAGCATAGTCCATTACAAAAGGAGTTTAACCGTTTAGCCTTCTTGTTACTAGCTCAAAGTCCTGCTCTCTCTCGCTCTACTGCAGCCGATGAAAATAAAACCTGAAGTTGATGTTTGTTCACTCGGTAACAGCATCCATACATCTCTGTTAGAGGTAGCATGGTGCAATTACTGATCAATAAAAATACACATTTTTTAATTTTCTTTATTAGGTTGTCTTGTGCCTAGCATTCTTTAAGGGTTTCAGGAATTTGTTTTTCATCTTTGTCTTCTACAATAATTAAGTACATTTTAGCTAGGGCTGCAACTAGTAATTATTTTGCAACTTGATAAATCTGTTGAATAATAATTTCATAGTTAAGATGAAACTAAAACCCTGAGACTTGAGGGGTTCTTGATATAACATGTTTATAGACAAAAGAGGTTTTTCATTTTAAAGGCAGAATGTGCAAATATGTTGTACAGTTTTGCTTAATTTCTGCTTTGAGTCGATGCTTTAAAAAAATATGGCATTTCTCAGAGTTTGCTTGTCTGCTTACAAATGAATCGATTACTGCATTGGTTGATAATTGTATTCATAACAATCTGATCCAGCCCTGATTAGAGAAGCTTTATCTCTGTAAAGTGCCTTGAGATGACATGTGTAGTGAAATGGAGATACTATATAAACAAATTAAACTGAATGTAAGCCTCAGAGACCATTAACTGGATTCATCTTGTAATTTATTAGTTCACTTGAGGCCCACAATAAACTCTCCTCTAAAGCTATTCTGTATTTATGAGTTAAACAGCTCAGGAACTACTAAGTGACTAATCAATATGCTATCTAAACTACTAAATTTATTGGATTATGGGGTTAAATACCATATAATATTCCAACCACTTTAAGAACATCACTATTAATAGGTAAGAAACCAAAAGATCAGTTAAGTTTTAATCCGTTTTTATAAGAACTGAGCAGACAGAAGCAGGAAGCCCTGAATAAACATTTGCAGAAACCTAAAGTGGTTTCAGGTTCAGTTATAAAGATCCTCTTTGCTGTGAGTTATTAAAAGGCCTCTAGGCTGGTAAACAGTTTGGTCTGAGGGAAGACGTGTGTGTATGTGCTCCTCTTTAAACACAGGTTATTCACATACCATTTAATAAAGCACTTCACCTCACATTGCAACATATCCTGCAGAGCTGGGAAACAGATGCTGTGATTAGCTGAATAAATACCTGAAATGTCAACAGAACAGGATCAAAGTTAGCGTCTCACCAGTCTGTTTAGCCAGGTTTCAAAACAGATTTTTTTATTTTTCTTCTACAGCATCTAACAGTCGAGTGGAGAGCGTGTGTGAACGCTGGAGAGCCAGTTTGATCGAGCAATATGGTGGAAAACCAGACCCGCAGCAGTATTTGCCTCAGTGCGAACCAGATGGAGAATTCAGGTACATCATTATACATTTTTATGAGCAGCTAACGTTGTTTCCATGCAGCAACATTCTGATTCTGATCTCTGTGCGCCTCCAGTCCCGTCCAGTGTTACGGGGAGTCCACTTACTGTTGGTGTGTGAACAAGGAGGGACAGGAAATCACTGGTACTCGTTCACACGATGCTGTCAAACCAGCGTGTAAGTTAGATTATTTTTCTTCCTTAGCATTAAAGGGTTGAGGGGGGCAATTACAAACACATGCCACACTTATCAGATTAGCATATGTTAAATATTTGTAAGCCATGTTGTTAGCAAGTAAATATTATATAATCCAATCTTTTACCAGGCCTCCCAACAGTGGCACCCCCCGTCGTACGTCCCGTGACCCGTCCAGACGTGACTCCTCCGGCAAACACCGACGTCACTCTCCTCTACGCTCAGGGGCAGAAAATAGGAGCTCTGCCTCTGAACGGGACCAGACTGGATGCAGCGCGCTCCAGTACTCTGCTGACGTTACATGTAAGAAATGCTGCGACTTTCCATTCCTCTTTTTTAGAAAAATAAAAACAAAGCTGGTCTAAAAATAAAAAAAATAAAGAAGTCTCTAATTTTGCCTCCATATATCATTTTTACTGGCTGTTGACACCCAATGTGTCAAGTGATGCAATGTGTGAGAGACATCTGTGTAACATCTGCTGCGGATGAGTTTCCTACGCCTACTCTAGCAGAAACACAGAAGAAAGGTTTGAATCTGAGATGATAAATCACACTTTGTCAGGATAACAAAGATGTCTGCCATCTTTTCCTTCTTAAGGCAAGTTTAATCAGTTTAAAAAGAAAACAAATCATATAAGAAAAATCATATTTTATAAAAAAAAATCCCCTAAATTGAAAAAAAAAACATGTTTTTTAATTGTGCCCTGCAAAAATGATCCTAAAATTAGTAATAAAAGTCTTAAAATGTGTATATTTACCCTTGATTTGCCAATAGATTATGTTTTACCTTAAAATAAGATAATTAGATATTATGCACTTGAAAGCATTTGAGAATGCAGATGGTTTTTTTCTTATTTTAAATATAAATCGTGTTATTCCACTGGCAAAGTGTCTCATTTACCTGCTCAATGCAAGAAAAAATGCACTTAATTTAAGAAAAATCCTCTTACTTGTTTTATTTGAAATGAGAAAGCTATGGATTTGATTCCAGCTTCCTCATGTTACATGTTGATCTGTGTAAGACTCTCAAGATCTAACTGTCAAGCTTTAAAATAAGCAGATGTCCAGCTGCAAGAAAACCTTAACAATTTCAATTCAATTCAGTTTATTTATATAATGACAATTTAAAAGCATGTCTTCTCAAGGAAATTTAGAGACAATTCAATCAAATCATACAGACAGATTGGTACAAAGTTTTCTATCAAAGGGAAACCAGGATTCGTTCTTCCTGGATGAGTTTGCAGTGACTGTAAACAAATACGGCTAATTCTGAAAGAGGCCAGGAGGAAGCATTCTTTCTATAAAAGCAATATGGCAGCATGGTTTTGGTTTGCAAATCTATATTTGAATATGTTTCATTACACTTGCCGTCAGGGAGGGCAACTGAGCCGGTTGTCCCGGGCCCAGGGTTATTATAAGATATTTGCAAGGAAATTGGAGCTTTATTCTGTATAACTGGTTTTGCCGCTGACACAGTTTCTCAGAAGTTTATTAAGCTGCTATACATAACGCTGGCTGCGCTGCAGGTGGAGAAAGGAAAAGACAGAACCTTAATCTTCCCTCTGTACACGGTCAGGCAGCAGCTCCATCACTTTAACATGAAGGGTACGCAGGAACAGCTTTAGATCGGACAGAACTTAAGATCGTCCTCACCTGCAAAAGCCTGAGAAGACGGTCATAGCTTAAGGGCTCTGATGGAGCAAACAAACTGATCAGCGTCTGTTAAGGGTATCTTCCTGCTTTGCTAGATGAGGTTATAATTAAGACTGGACCAATGGGTGTTGTTTAGAAGTTTTGATGTTTTGAATTTGACTGACGAGACTAAATGGCGTTTCACGGCTGCAACAATACTGCGGTGGACGTGCATAAATACACAATCCTTCCTTACAGCTTTAAAGGTATATTATGCAACCAGGGTTGATTTTCCAGCGAGGCTCCCCCCAGAGGGCGAAAGTAAAAGTGCACTGTCGTAAATATGCTCAGCTGTTCTCCTGGTTTCTCCGTCAAGCCAGGCGCGGTTGTTTTGAGCTTAGCAGACAGGCGAACGCACTGAATGACTAACACAGTGAAAGTATGAACATGCACACAGAGAGAGAGAAACCATTCCAATGTTACTTACAATCGCATCAGCAGAAACGCGAGGTCCGCGTCAGCCTTGCAGCCTTCTTTTTATTTTAGCTCTCTCCATTCGGAAAAAGCTTGCCCGATGTTCACCCGTGTACGACTCCTCTCTCTGTCCAGAGCCCTTTTCCTCTTTCTTGCCTGCTCCGACATGGGCTTTCGCTGTTTTCTCTCTGGTTCCCGCCATGATAACTGCATAAATATCGCCACTGCGCTAGCAACGAGCATGCCTTTCACTGGGGGCGTGTAGCTGTTCTCGCCGTAAAGCAAGACCGACTCTCGTGAGACTTCTGAGCCTGTGGGTGCGGGCCGAGGGCTCCTGCGATTGCAAGTGCGGTATTTCCCCTACAGACCACCAGGGCGGCCGAGAATACCTTTGTTCGACCTGAAATGACTCATTTAATCATCCAAAACGTTATGGAACACATTAATTAACTGAAAAATGTTGCATAGTGTGCCTTTAACTGCTCAAGGAAGATTTTAAACAGAACATGTTGTCCAATTTAAACGCGTCACACAAGTAAAAATCTATAAATGGGATCAAATGCGACTGGAGCATAAATTAAAAACTGTAAAGATCTCTATTTGTAAATGTAAACATTTAAAAGTTACCAGAGATGCTTGCATTAAATAAATAAATATAGTTTTTATCCTTAACAAATAAATAATTAAATATTTTTCACCTATCTAATAAACTGTTAAATATGTTTCTCTTCCTTCCAGAAAAGGTTCCTTTAAAAATTTAACATTTAAGGAGAGATGGGCCCTGACTCGTCAATTCTTTAGATTTTGTCAGATGATATCAAGTATGGTGGGAGCTGTTAGAATCGGGCTTTACTTTGTTTCTAACTTGCAGCCAATGTTGTAGACTTGGCCTAGTCAAAGTTTATCTATGATGGGAAGTTTTCTGATAAGGTGTTGTGTGTATTTTGTGAGTCAATCCAGTGGAGAGCAGGAAAACTGATGCTTTTTTTGCATCATTTGCAATTTTCTTTTTGCATAGACTGCAGACTTACTGTTTTCTGTTTTGTTTTTCAATGTAGGGAGACTTTAATAGAGTTATTTAACTGGTTTAAAAAGTAAAAGCTCTCTAGGGGAGCTGCTTTTAGCAGATATGAAGTTCTGAGCTGTGTTCATTGGTGTGTCTGTTCCCAGGGCTCCATTGTTGTCGGCATAGCCTATGACTGCAAAGAAAATAAAGTCTATTGGACGGATTTGTCAGCGAGGACGATAAACAGAGCTTCTGTGGCAACCGGAGCTGAGCCTGAGATACTCATCAGCACAGGTAGGAGGGTATTCCTGGTCCTCTATGGCGTATTGGATCTGCCGGTTTAAGGAAGGAAACGCTCTCCCTTTAGGTCTCTTCAGTCCGGAAGGCTTGGCTGTGGACACCAAACGCAGGTTGATGTTCTGGGTCGACTCGAACACAGATGTGATTGAAAGTGCTGACCTGGACGGCAGCAGAAGGCGGACCCTGTTTGACTTGGACTTGGTTAACCCCAGAGCCATTATAGTGGTCTCATCCACTGGGTAAGCTTTTTTTTGTCCATCTGTACTTTACTTTTAGCCTTAGTTTGGTCAAAAAATACTATGAACCTGTAGCATCTGGTCTGCATGTATCAACAACTATCCATTAAAACTAATTCCATGTTTTAAAATACGCATTTGGAGGTTTAATGGTGTCACTTATTGACTCCAACTCACAAGCTCCCACAGAGGATGGCTGTGACTCGAAGTGACGTATCAGACAAACCACATGGTTCAGCTTTTAATTAAAACCAGCAAGGTCTCAAAGCAGCTGTGAGTCAATCCAGCGGAGAGCAGGAAAACTGATGCATTATTTGCATCATTGGTTTTGTTGAGTCTGGTTTCGAGCCATCTAAACTAAACAGGGACTCTTTGATAAGAGTCTGAAGGATATTTATGAGTTTGAGAATGCTTTACAAAGTTCATGCTTGGCTCCTCCATTGCTTTAAATTAGTCATGCTTCTTGATTGGTAGGCTTGGAGGAATCCCATCTGCTTTCCATCCTCTGAATTATTGTAATAATGAGCTCTTATGCAGCGTCGTGTATTAGCATGACTCATCAAACTTGAAATGTGTTTCACATCATCGCCTTGACATATTTGGTTTGAGTGGGTTCTGGATGAGAGCCAAGTTTTCCATTAGCACTCATATGTAAGATCCCCACCTGGCTCTGAGCTGATCAGAGGTGGTTAATCACTCAGCCACAGTCTACTGGGATTTAATTATTTTTCAAATGTTTTTAGAAAGTTTTATTTATTTCGTTCTGCATATCAAGTTCTGTATCATGCCACCCTGTAGGAGTCTATATTGGACTGACTGGAACAGGGAGGCTCCTAAGATCGAGACCTCCACCGTGGACGGTCAGGGCCGCAGAGTGGTGGTGTCTGACGGGGTCGGTTTGCCAAACGCTCTGACGTACGACTTCTCCTCTGGACAGATCTGCTGGGCGGATGCCGGTAAACATCAAACATCCAGGTTCCCCAAAGTCCGCTTTGTAGATAAAGGCAGAGTTGATTCAGCATCAATCATCCTTCCTTCAGGTACAAAGCGGTTAGAGTGCATCTCTCCAAATGGCTCTGGACGAAGAGTGATCAGCTCTGGGCTCAACTACCCCTTCAGCATGGTCTACTACAGCAACCACTTCTACTGCAGCGACTGGAGGAGGTAGCCATCTTTAATTCTCCACCTGCTGCCATTCGTTCCTTTCTGATTAGTAATCGCCGTGACTCTCCACAGGGATGGAGTGATCGCTGTGAGCAAAGACAGCAGCAAGTTCACTGATGAATACCTGCCAGAGCAGCGCTCTCACCTGTACGGTATCACCATAGCAACCAGCCATTGTCTACCAGGTAAGATAAAGGTGACATCATATTTACAGATATATTGAGTTTCACAAAAAAAACAGAAAAAAATGTGTCTGATCGTAAAGTGGACCATTTGATCTGTTTCCTCGATGTTCAACCATTTGCTTATTAGTGCTATTTTTGCAGCATTTATATTATGGGCCAAAAAAAGCTTTATTTTTACAAATAAAATCTGAAAAGTGTGGCAGGCTTTTGTGTTCAAGAGTCAACAGTGTGTGGAACCACCTTTGACTGCAATCATAGTTCCTTCCTTTGGGATAAGAAGCGTCTTTAAGTAGCAGTAACCAACTCTTTCCAGGGATTCCTAATTAGATGTCGTTCTGGACTTTGAGTAGGCCATTCTAACCTAAATATGCTTTGATCTAAATATAGTATCAGCAGGCTTTTACTATCCATTATTATCTTGTGTCTATCTAAAGCCGGGCATACACGGTACAATATTTTTCAGTCGTTGCACGCAGCTACAGCTCATGATGCATGTGCGCCCCTTATCAAATCTACCCGCTCACACTGCATGTCTAAAAACCACATCAGACTCATCCTCGGAGTGAGATGACTCATATATCCGGAAGCCAAACCAGTAGAAGAGGAATATGAAGCTCACTAGAGTGAAACGCGCTGCCTTGCAATTGAGCAATTTTGTGCTGAAAGCCCTAAAAAGAAAAGGCGGCGACGTATTTGGACAAAGATATGGCTGGGCAAACGTGGCTACGACAGTCTCAATTCTACAGAAAGAACTCCATTTCATTCATTGCATCCCCGCCATGCTTCTCTGTTTACATCTGAAAAGAAGAAGAAGAGTCCCTGTTTGCCCACTGAGCGATTTGCTCACGATGGTCGATAGAAAATCAAACATTTGATTTTCTCCTGACCACACAATTCCTGATCAGGAGGTGTTTGGGAGAGGCTGATTGCCCCTCGTTACCCCTGGTACACTACACCAGGCGTCCCCAATCTCGGTCCTCAAGGCCAGCTGTCCTGCAGGTTTTAGAGGTTTCCCTGCTTTAGCACAACTATCAGTCGTCTCTTCCCGACCTCCACTGGAAATGCGATACTACGCTACTTCCGGTCGCCAACTTTTTCAGCTTTGGATTTCAACATAAATCTAGTCTTTTTGAGTTTTGTTTTCGTTTCATTTTAACCTTGTGCTATATAGTGCATAATCTAAAGAAAGATACAACTAAAATGCAGATAAACTTGGTTTAATCATATTTTGCCAGACTGCATTTCTGATGATGTCAGAGAAGCAGTTTAACGAAGAAAATTTAAAAAGCATAAACATTGTCTCACAAAAGTCATAAAACATTTTTTTTACAGATGTGCATTAGCATTCTTTAGTGAGTTAAGGACAGAAATAAATAGTTTTAGTACCATAATTACATTATTTATGGACACCCGGATGTATATCTATTCGCGCATGCGCAGAACGGATCGCGCTTTCGGGACGGATCGGGTTGTGACTAGAACTTCTGTTTCTAGAGTTCTTTATTTCAGCTCAGGAGTTGAGCCCAGTTGTTTCATTGTTTCAGGAGCGTTAAGGTGGCAAATAAATGTCAAAATCTGTGAATTCGGGAGATTTGTTCTCCGTTGTACCTGCAACTAGCATGTTCATGTGCTAAATAAAAACTAGCCCCTTATTCTATCATTTCATACTTTGAATTCCTCCTCTGGCAATTAGGAAAAATCTAGAGAAAATCCACACCTTCTAATAAGCTGCATGGTTCAAAGCGTGGAGGAAAAGTAGCAGCTTATACCCCTGACAATACGGTAGTCTTTTTTTGTACGTTTATCATGTAATATATCCCAGTAAGACACATTAGAATGTTCTGGTGTAGCTGAATAAACTTTGAAAAACTTCTTAAATTATATTAGCATTTTGGAACATTGCCGATTACCATTTCTGCTGGGTTTTATGAGAAGTTTGCCATCCTGAAAACTGAACGTTACCTTGGTTTCAGCAGTTTGTCTGGAATGTCATCGCATCCTTTCCCAGCTGTGATAACCATCCATTAAGGTCTTGTGGGAAAAGTGCGATGGTGGGCACCATTTGTAAAGATGACAACACCCATCAAGCATGTGAGGCCACCCTCCTGACTCACCGTGCACGAGCCACAGACTGATGATTACACAGCGGCTGACGACCCCTCTGCCTGTACTTTGGGTCTCTGATGTCCCCGGCTCCTTTCAAAGCTGTGTTTTTAAAACACCTTCAAAGTGCTACGTGGCCCCTTTAAGTACAGGATAATCCTCAAAGCGGCGCCCTGGCAGATGTCCCGGCCAGAGAATCTCGACGCAATGATCGGGGGTGCTCGTCTCTGTAGTCGGGGCCTCCCTTCAAAGACGGCCGATGACAGCTCTGAGGCACACTTGTTAGGGGTTTGGGAGGCGGATGGAAGAGGCTTTAAAAGTCGTCACAGTTGAAGACGTGAACACAGAGAAAACTCTCAGGGCTTTATGTGTTTGTTCTGTCATTAAAAACAGCTGGATTCACACAGGAAGGCAAATCTCCTCCTCTGACTGTCACAGAAATAAAAAAAGGTGTTCTTTGTTTGTTTTTTCAGGTAGCCACTAACAACGGATCAGGAGCCGCACAGTCATTTGGTGCTTTAGTCATGGGAGCCCATCACAGACTGCCTTAACATGGGAGCAGATCAGGAGGCAGACCCCCCCCCCCCCCATCCTCACCCACAAAATATAACCCAAAGTAAATGTTTTGTAAATTTGTTTTATACCTCATTTTTTTCTACTTTTTTTTAATTGTTAATTTGTTTTTTATCACAGCTGTAAAACAATTTAGAAGCTCCACCATGTGTGTGGTTTTCCTACCACTTAAAGGGACAATCCAGGATTTTTAAAAGTAGGATTCAGATAAAGCGCCGCCTTAAAACGACCATCTCTTGCCGTTATTTGGAAAGGCCACCGATTTAAAGACACACTGTTTAACTTTTGGCCACTGGGGGCGCTGGACCTGTAACTGCCTGTATTTTGCTTCTACTAAACATTGAAAATAACAACAAAGATCTATGACTGTATACTAGGAGCAAAGTGTTAACTTACCAGTCTAATAATAAAGCTGATGAAAGAGAATCGGTTTTACATCCAGCCTGCGCCAACGAACAAACTCATTTCCAAAATCGATTCCTTTTTCCGCAGGCACATCCCTTCATGTTTTCTCTTTTTATCCTCCTCAGAAGGTTTAAACTTTTTCATTGCCTCAGCCATGACCGGTAGTCAAAAAAATAGAGCAAAAGCCATGACTCCATGATACGTTCTTCCAGGTCACATGACCTGGCCAACGGGGGTATTTAAAGATGGGAGGCCCACTCGTAGCATTCAAGCACTGTACATGGCCTGAGGAATCATTTAAAATAAGTCATATGCATCAACTCTTTAGGTCAATAAGTCCACCTTTAGCTTAAAGACAGGAAATAAGCTGAAGCTGATGCTTTTATACTGTCCAGTGGGAGCGAGTTTCACTCAGTTTTCATTTCACAGACATTTGTGTGATCTTATTAATCTTAAATTGAACTCAGCAGTATTAATATGGATTTAGAGCCAGTAGGTGTTAAACTGCAAGAAGCGTTGGTTTCATCAGGACATATTTCCTTGCGTTAGCTATAAGAAATAGATTTTTTTCTCTCTCTGTCCAAGAAGTTGTAACATAAAATGGTGCAAATAATATTATTTTTTTTCAAACTCACTGCCAAAAGCAAATCTGTTTTTTCTGGGATGAAACCGGTCGGATTGCAGCAGCTACAGTCCTGTTAATTTGCTGAATATTTTCACATTTTAAACCTTTTCTTGTTAACGAGATGTGATATTTATATCAATAAAATGTGATTTGATACCGGGGTTTTTTTTTCTATGATTGCCTTCCAGTCAAAGTGTGATCTGTGGTATGATTCATTTCAAAATTAACCTTTATTTCATCGACAGGAACAAAATAAAAATTAAATAGCTCAGAACAGCCTTCAAAAGTTCCTCAGTCTTTGAGGAAATTAATTTTTTTTTAACACAACTACATGTAGTTTTTCTACAGGCCTCTCCTACCTTCAAAAAGAAGGTTTGTATTTGCATCTGAGGCTTGGGCCATTGCTTCAAGTTCAACCAAACTGGCCCACATCATGCAACAGCTGTAAAAAAAAGGAAAAAAAACTAGAAGGAAGAATAAGGCCCTTTTCTCTGAGAATTAACTTGAAAACTCCTGCTGCTCGGTCCTCAGCTCCCTCCAGCGACTCTCTTCCATCGCCCTCTCTCATCTGCCGACCTTGCCCAGCCGGTGGTCCGTCTTGGGGTCGGCTATGATGGCCTGAACGGCAACGATGGCCTCGTTGATCTTAGTCTGGAGCTCCCGCAGCTCCTCAATGTGCAGCAGGCGTAAGATCTGAGCTGCTTCGTTCAGGGTGGCGTCTGCGAGGAGAGAGGAGGAACTTTGTTACCAAGCTGGGCGACCTCTTCAGCATGCATGTTTAAAACAAAACCATGTCATTTATCCTCCCTCACCGCCAGTGTCGAAACCGAGAATGTGTTTGTCTAAAGTAACCGGAACACCCTGCAGAGAGATGCGGGACATTTTTAAGCAGAATTCAAATATGACTCTGGGATTTAATTTAATGTGTCTTCTTCTCACCTCTTTGTTCTGGCTGGCTTTAGCTATGGCCTCTGGTGAAAGTCTCTCCTGGATTAGAATCCGAATGGCCTGCAAACGGCAGGAAGATTGACACCGATTAGAGAGCCCTGCAGTTCTGATGGATTTCATGAAGGTGTTTTAGAGTAAAGCAGTTTAATACACAGGAACACCAAACATTCTGCTTCAACTCCAGCTCATTTCATCCTAATGAAGCATATTAAAGTATATGGTTGGAACGCACCCACTATTAAGGAAGTACTCCAGAGGTTATGCAGATAACATAACACACACCCACCTTGAGCATGACCAGGTAATCGTCATGCCGTTGTATCTTAAGGATATTGGCCAAGGCTGTAACTCCCGCTTTAAAATCTGGAGAATTACCTGAAGGAGTAAAGAAAATGGATTAAAATGGAGCAATGGAAGAAAAATCTACAGGAGGAATGCTTTACTTACTGTCAAGGTTCACTAGAGGATCCCCGGCGACCTTATCGCTGTTACCGGACGTGGCCAGAGGCGGGCAGTTCTTATATTTATCAACTGCACAAAAGAAAATAAAGCTCTAATTTAACCTACCATTCACTATACTACCACTCCACCTAGTGGACATTATTTGTATTAACACTAAAGTGCACTAAATTTAGAAAACCATTTATTGAGCATTCAAAACTTAACATTTTCAATTCAAAAAGGACTTTTTATGGGGAAGGTGGTCACCCCAATTAAGTCCAATAAAAGTAAAGTAAGTACTGTTCATAATTAATTGCCCAGAACAGACAATGCAACACAGAACAGAGACAACAGAAATATCTGTAGAGGTTTAAAAATTATTTGTTCACATCTGTTTGAAATAAAATTATGCACAAAATACAAAGGATTGTGATTTTTTTTCCTTTTATTGTATTATTATTTTAGCTGTTGACACATTTGGGGAGGGATTTGGGTTTACGTTCAGTAAAGGAAAGCTGATCATGCAGTGGGTGAGGTTCCCTGAGATTTGCACCCTTAAAACATTTTAACAGAAATCTCCTCTGTGTTGGTCTTAACAGAATATATGTTGAGCTTTAAAAAAAATGGTTATTGATAACAAAATATCCCAAAAGAAAGTCTTTGCTGAAAAGAAAATCAAAGGGAAAATAATCCAAATCTACGGAAGAGGATTAGGGCCACTGAAAAAATTATAAAAGTTAACTGATTTTAAAATTCTATTTCAGTTTAATCTGAGAAAAATGTCAGAATTCTGACTTTTTCCCCATATTAAACTGAAAATGTAAAAATCAGTTCACTTTTTTTTTTTTCTCCCAGTGGCCCTAGTTCTCCTCCATACAAATCAGTATGCATTACCAGCTGAAGGACTTACCATTGTCTCCATATTCATAGCGTACAGCCAGGCCCAGCAGCCAGTCCAGAGCTTCTTTCTTCTCTTGAACTCCAAAGGGACAGTTCAGATCCTTCAGGTACTACAAAAACACAAAGCAGAAAGCTCAAACACAGATCATGGTGTCCAGAAAGTCCATCAAACAGCAGCTTCCTCACCTTCTCGTAGGCTTTGGGCCAATCTGAGCTGGGGATGTTCCTTAGGTTACCTCTGTCCTCAATCTTATAATGTCGGATCTTCTGGTCCTCCAGCCACACCAAACAGTTCCTGAACTGGGTTTCATCTGAGCAGGTATGACAAGCAGTTAGCTCGATCTGAGCAGGTTATTATTATTCAGCAAGAAATTAACCTAAACACATCTGGCTGGTGAATTTAGATTTACTTTATTTATTTTAATAAAAACAGCCAAATTTACTGGCCTAATATACAGATTCTATCGGTAAATATACTTTAAGTTCCAGTTAACTGAAATAAAAGCTTAAAATACCCCCAATATATTGCTATTTTTAGTCTGGCACTTCACGGTCTCCTATATATTATAGTGAACGTGCTGAGAATACGTCTACCAGTTAGCTAGCTACGAGGAAAGCTGAACGAAACCGGTTAGTTTATTCTATTTTTCCTCACCTGAGCAGTCAAATCCGTTGGGGTCGTGATAGTCAAGGGCAGTAAGTTTTCTGCGAAACATTTCACTATAAAAACTTGGTGCTAAAACCTCCGCTTTTCCTATCAGACGCTTGAAACACTACTGCTAGCACCGTGTTTGACAATGCGCATGCGCACTTCGGGCCCAGCTGGTTTCAAGTTACCCTTTCAAAGTAAAAGCTTCACTGCCAATTAATGCAAACAAATGCGGGTTCTTATGTTTTCCTGAGGTTAAAAATATACAGGTGCTGGTCATAAAATTAGAATATCATGAAAAAGTAGATTGATTTCAGTAATTCCATTTAAAAAGTGAAACTTGTATATTATATTCATACATTACATACAAACTCATATATTTCAGATGTTTATTTTGTTTAATTTTGATGATTACAAATGACAACAAATGAAAATCTCAAATTCATCATATCAGAAAATTAGAATATTACTGAAGACCAATAAAAACAAAGGATTTATAGAAATGTTGGCCAACTGAAAAGTATGAACATGAAAAGTATGAGCATGTACAGCACTCAGTATTTAGTTGGGCCTCCTTTGGCCTGTATTACTGCAGCAATGCAGCGTGGCATGGAGTCGATCAGTCTGTGGCACTGCTCAGGTGTTATGATAGCCCAGGTTGCTCTAATAGTGGCTTTTAGCTCTTCTGAATTGTTGGGTCTGGTGTATTGCATCTTCTTCTTCACAATACCCCATAGATTTTCTATGGGGTTAAGGTCAGGAGAGTTTGCTGGCCAATTAAGAACAGGGATACCATGGTCCTTCAACCAGGTACTGGTAGCTTTGGCACTGTGTGCAGGTGCCAAGTCCTGTTGGAAAATGAAATCTGCATCTCCAAAAAGTTGGTCAGCTGCAGGAAGCATGAAGTGCTCTAAAACTTCCTGGTATGTGGCTGCGTTGACCCTGGACCTCAGAAAACACAATGGACCAACACCAGCAGATGACATGGCACCCCAAACCATCACTGACTGTGGAAACTTTACACTGGACTTCAAGCAACGTGGATGAAGTGCCTCTCTTCTTTTCCTCCAGACTCTGGGACCTTGATTTCCAAAGGAAATGCAAAATTTACTTTCATCAGAGAACATGACTTTGGACCACTCACCAGCAGTCCAGTCCTGTTTCTCTTTAGACGCTTCTGACGCTGTCTGTGGTTCAAGAGTGGCTTGACACAAGGAATGCGACAGCAGAAACCCATGTCTTTCATACGTCTGTGTGTGGTGGTTCTTGAAGCACTCACTCCAGCTGCAGTCCACTCTTTGTGAATCTCCCCCACATTTTTGAAGGGGTTTTGTTTCACAATCCTCTCCAGGGTGCGGTTATCTCTCTTGCTTGTACACTTTTTTCGACCACATCTTTTCCTTCCCTTCGCCTCTCTATTAATGTGCTTGGACACTGAGCTCTGTGAACAGCCAGCCTCTTTAGCGATGACCTTTTGTGTCTTGCCCTCCTTGTGCAAGGTGTCGATGGTCATCGTTTGGACAACTGTCAAGTCAGCAGTCTTCCCCATGATTGTGTAGCCTATAGAACTAGACTGAAAGACCATTTAAAGGCTTTTGCAGGTGGTTTGAGTTAATTAGCTGATTAGAGTGTGGCACCAGGGGCCATCAATTTTGAACCTTTTCACAATATTCTAATTTTCTGATATGATGAATTTGAGATTTTCATTTGTTGTCATTTGTAATCATCAAAATTAAACAAAATAAACATCTGAAATATATGAGTTTGTATGTAATGTATGAATATAATATACAAGTTTCACTTTTTAAATGGAATTACTGAAATCAATCTACTTTTTCATGATATTCTAATTTTATGACCAGCACCTGTAATTTCTCCCGAATTTTGTTTAAAATATGATTGACTTAAAATCTTTTAATTAACAGTCTCTCAAAACTTTGACTTCCGTAAGTTTTTATTTTTTTAACGTTTAATTTCCCTAATTTCTAATATATTTGTGAGGACTTTTTGTTTTATGTGTTTTGAAGTTCGACCAATACAATATCTTAACAATTCTGATTAACTTTCAGAATTACTTTTGCTAGCTGAAAGTGTGATTAACAGCGTTAATCTTTAATAATTTTAATCTTGGAAAAGGGATTCAGTGTTTTTTGTTTTTTTTTAATCCCAGATCATAAATAAAGTTACCTACAAAAAGGTTAAAAAAATAAAAATATAATAATA